GATCTTGGTTTAAGTGGCTTTGTCCTGAAGCTAATCTTTCACTGCAGGATTTCCTGAGGTCTCTTAATCTTGTGATTTCCTTTAAGCGTTTTCAGACTGGTCAGACAAGGTTGGAGGTCTCATTGCTTGTTTGGTTTTGGGTCTTGTCAGTTCTGTGTTTTCTGTTAGTTGGAGTTGTATTGGTTTCTGACTGCCTAGTGTTGGAGATTCCATGTTCCTGCTTTTTTGTTATTTGTTGCAGTAGTTTCTCGGGCGATTTGTGTGTGCAGGTTGGGTTGCCAATGTTTTATTCCAGTGTTGATAGTACTTGCGACTGGAGGATTTGAGCCAACCTTCCTTAACACGCTGTAGTCCTGAGTAAAACAAGTCTGTTTGTATTGAGGGTCGATGTTGTTAGTGTGATTAGGGTCGGTTGCGTTCTGCTGGAGGCTGAGGTGTTGCGGTGGTGAAGTGCGGTCTGTGTTTTGGTTTTTCGGGCAACTGAAAGGTGGCTGTCAAGTGTCAGGAGATTGTATGTATCCAACTAGCTTGGAATGCAGTCAGGTGTGAAGCTTTGGACTCTCCTTTCTATTCTGTTGGGAGGGTTCGTTTGGCGTTTAGACTGGTCCAGTGGTTGTAGCAGTGACATTGGTTAGCTTTGAGCGGACTGTAGGCTCTTCTCTTTGGTGGATGGAGCAGGGTGAGCGCGTAAGGCCTTGCGTGCAGTGGTTGCATTGGGGCTAGTTGCAGGCTGCCCTTCTGTCGTTGTTCCTGATCTGCTCTTCAGGTTTTGCAAGCAGCCAGGTGGTAGCTCAGCTCGTGTAGGTTTCTCTGATGGACATGTATTCTGCTGTCATAATGTTGTTTTCGCTTTGGTTCGTTTTGTGTTATCGCTGCGTAGTGATTTTATGGATTGTGGAAGCTGTTGCCATCGTGTGGCTGGGCGTGTTTTGGTTGGCTGCTGTTTTGGCTTGTTCTTGCTGTACGATTTTTTGTTGTGTTTCTGCTGTGAGGGAGGCGCATGGTGGATCTGTTTCCTGTTTTCCTCCCTTTTGCTGTTGTGTTTTAAATCCTTCTTTTGGGGCTGCTCTTTTGCTGTTCAATTTTTGCTTCGCGGTGCTGTTTGTTGGGCGGAATTACAATCTTGATTGTATGGTAAATTCTACTTGGAAGTGACACTATTTTTGCTTCAACTTAGGCTTAATGAGGTTTTTTTAACAAGGTTCTTATGACGTCGTGCATTATATGAATTTTGATATAAATCATACAAATCCCCTTTTCAAAAAAAAAATAACATTCTAATGCTTTGATCTCCTCTTACGTTCATATGATAAGATTAATTTATAAGTATATTATTCATATTTTCTAAGAAATACTTTTCATTGTTTAAATTTTTGAACAAACTCTTAAAATAGAAGAAAGTCATAAACTCTAAAAAAATATAAAAAAAATATTTAATTTTGTGAATTTTAAAAATCTAAACTAATAAAATAATAAAAAACGATGATCATCAGTGTTTAGGACGACTTTATATACATCGAGAAATGATGATTTTTTAGTTGCGATTGAACATGGATAAAACCCCCTAATTTTGATGAAGAAAATGAAGTTGAATCAAAAATTATTTTTTTTGACTTTTACGCCAACATCACATTATCTGGTAGTTAATGGTTTAGCAATCTTGTGCCTTCACTGAATTGTAACTGAAATTTAGTGTTAAAATTAAAGTAATTTAAATTTTAGTTCTAAAAGGGTAAAATCCAAATTTTATCACTGAAATTTACTTACTTTCATATTTTGCTCACTAAATTTAATACATTAGGTTTTTTGTCACTCTGTCGTTAAATTATTAATAGCGTTAAAATGACATCGTTTAAAAAATAAAATTTTCAACAAAACGACTGTAACACCCCCAACCCGTACCCGACCCGGATACGAGTCTGATATGTCACATTGACTTTTTAAAACAATATTCTTACAAAATATCAAAACATTTGAACTTATATTAAGAAAATACAATAAATACTATTAAATTATGCTTCAGTATAAAAATTTGAAAAAAATACGTATTTATGAACATTAATATACAATATGAACAGTGCCGTGAACAATACCATGAACAGTGAAAATTTCGAATATAGATTAGTACTACTACAGTACTTTCGTAAAAATACGTATAAACTCGTAAAAATCTAAGTTTCATCCGTATAAAATTTATCAATTACATATACGCATTTAAAACATTACAAAACTCAATCGTATGACTTTTCAAAACCGATTAGAACATATCGGATTTAATCCTTTATTTACATGTCAACCACTATCCTTATTACCAAATACATACTATACATTTCTTTTCTGATCTGATCTTTGGAAAGGAGAAACTGACCTGTCTTGCATAACTTTTATCAATCTTCCTCTTCTCGGAACCTACGCATGAAACAATCACACGCTAAGTCGTTGACTTAGTGAGGCATATAAAACATAATTATATGCTAACTGTAACTTCTACAATGCATGAACATTTGATATTACCTTATCATACCAAAGCATATATTCTTTTCTGTAATATATACATACATGCACATATCATGTAACATAACATCATTAACATGCTTATCATTTCTCATTTTATCATCACTAATTTCTTTATATACCATGTCAGCATATAATGTAAACTCTAAATCACACCATTGCATAGACAATTAGCAATCTCATATAACAAATACATTTCACTTAGGAATACACACATTATCACATATGAATCTTGTAAATACTTTTGATATCTTTTATAGGCCCATGTACATTACTGAGAACTTAAGGTATGTGAGTATTGTGAGGTTGTGCACTATGCTGTCACCACAGCTCGTATAAATTTGCACCGTAGTGCCATGTAGAATTTGTCCCGAAGGACCACGTAGAATTTGTCCCGAAGGACCGTGTAGAAATGCACCGAAGTGCCACGTAGAATTGCACCGTAGTGCCATATAAGATTGTCCATAAGGACCACATAGAAATTCCTTAAGAATCATATACATATACCAATGATCAAGTAGGTGTCTCAAAAGACCTCATACATGTTCCAAAGAATACATATATGTCCCGAAGGACCACGTAGACCCTCTACTCTTGGCATGCCAACTATACCCCTAGCTCTCATATCACATAACATTGGCATTATCATTTATGTCATTTCACATATTTATATATACACATGATTCACTTACACGTAGAACATTTTCATATGATTCACTTTCACATGTCACATAGCTTATATCTTGTTCTTATGTCTTCTCATAAACATATAATTTCCATACCTTTATCACGTAGCTCATATAATTTTTCCTGCATATTCATGTCACATATTTCATATCACTTTACATGGAATCACGTAGGTTGTTTCATATGGCTTATATCATTTCTCCTCTGTTCATATACATATGTCATATATACATCACATAGCACATAAGATAACATATCATGCAATCACATAGTTGTTATCATATTTTTCATATATATATTCATGTAGTTCAATATCACATATTGCATATAATCACATATGACACCTATACACATTTTCATGTACTCATGCACACATAAAGATCACGTAACATTTTAGAAATTACTTCTTACCATAATAACTCTGTCACTGGCTCATCGCAAGCCAATGTTTAATCGATAACATAAGTACAATTAAATTTCACTCACCTTAGCCTTACTTGCTTTGATTCAATCCTAACTCTTCGATTGTTCCATAATTCGTTTAGGCTCGATATCTACATAAATATAATTTTCAAGATGATTATCAAAAGCCTAAACCTTATACTTCGATGCTATTAACTTAAACGGATTTAATAAACTCATATTCCTAATTTTCTTTAGGAGTGCACCGATGCACTATGGATGCATCGATACCCAAATTAGGTTCGAAATTCCCATGCATCGATGCACATTCAAATTTTGTCTTAGTGCATCGGTGCCCATTCATAGTGTACTGATGCACCCGTCAATTATCAACTGATTTTACCCGAAAATTCCATAACTCTTCATTAAAATTCTTCATGTTTCATTCCCTTTTCTATTCTTAACTCAAGTACATATACTTAAACTAATTTCTACTCATTCAATACACATTTAACCTTAAAATTCCATTTTTCATATGGAAATCAATAATCATACTAAAATTTCAAGATGCTCTAAATCCAATTCTATCACTTCTTATCTCTTAATTAAGTTGATGACAAGTCAAATTTAGTTTCAAATTCAACTTATCAACTCTTTTCCAAAAATTCACTTAAAAACTCATTTTCTTTAATCTTTCATAACTTCTTCATCTTTTGATTTTAAAATAACTTAAGCTTAGTTATCATCTAATGATCAAAACCCAACCTTTTCGAAAACTTACCTTTACGAGCTTGCTATCTCTTTCTCTCATACATGAAGAAGAAGAAGAAGATGATGAAGTGGAGAAAATATCTCCTCATCCTTATCCCCACATGCCTATATATTATTTTCAAGTCAAATGACCATTTTACCCTTTAATTCTTTTAATAATTACCAATAACCCTTCAGATATTATTTTCAAATAAATCATTGAACTTTTAAACTTTTCCACTTTAATCACCAAATTTTAAAATTTTACAATTTAGTCACTAACCCATAGTTTGGGATGTTACAACGACGTTGTTTTGCATCTCTATAAAAGCCCATTTATAATGTCATTAGTGAGAAAACGAATGAGTGACCAAAATTTTAATGCATTAAGTTCAGTAAGAAAATTAAAAAGATTTAAAATATATTTAGTGAAATAGGAGAGAGTAAAGTTTAATACTCCGAATGAGATGAGCTGGAGCTTAAAACAGCTTCTAAAATTGAGGACTGAAGTGTCCTCTATTTTGTCCTCTCATACTCCGAATGTTAATACTCTCTGGAACGAGATTAGAGTTAAAAATCATAAAGTTAAATGGCACTCTTTACTTTGGTTCCCTCATCTCATTCCTAAGCATAGCCTCATTGTCTGGATGGCGTTTCTTGACCGTCTTCCTACGAAAGAAAGGCTTCATAAAATGGGGATTGTTAATGACATGAACTGCATTTTTTGTGATGCTGCTGTGGAAACTAGAGACCATATTTTCTTTGAGTGCACTATTGCTTCCTCCCTGTGGTCTGCTTTATTTTCTCTTAATGGTTTACAGTTTAAACATCATTCTTGGGATGCTTTTTTCGATTGGGCTGCTGCGTGTTGGAAGGGCAAATCCCTACTAACTACCATCATGAAAGTTGCATCTAATGCCTTGATTTACACTATATGGAAGGAAAGAAACAAGAGGTTGTTTCAAAGCCAATCTTCTAGTGTTACAGAAATGTTCATAGCTATTAAGGAACTGGTTGGTCTTCATCTAAGGGGAAGAAATATTAGAAGACTAGGCTATGTTAATATTAATCTTTGTAACCAATGGGACATTGTTTGATGGCTTAATTGCCTTTCTGTTTGTTTGATGCTTATTGTAATTCTAACTCTATTGTTTTGTGCAGTTTACTGCCTTTGGGTAATAAAAATTTGAATTATCCAAAAAAAAGTTTAATTACCATATTTGTAATTTACTCAGTTCTAAAATGAATACACAACCTAAAGTTAGTGACTAGTTTACCCCTAAATAAAAGTATTAAAACCATAATTAGACCGCTTTAGAACGTCGATCGTATTCCACAGTGCCCAATGGAGCAGGCCTGAACTTCTCGACCCAGCCTGGTTCATGCCTTTGGGTCCAGATTTTTGTTGGTCCAATTTAATGGTTAACAATGGCCGCAAAGAAATCAACTCTTCTGGAAGGCCGAGGACGGGAAAGGGCAATTGGAAAGCAAAAGAGAAATGGCTGATTTGTTTATAGGCGTATCGAAGTCCTCTCTTCTTCACCTTCACCCAAAGCTTGGACCATTTCAAAGGCAGCAGCTCTTTAACAACACCGGTCACCCCAGAGTTGCAGCGCCTAGCAACCGTCAACTTCATTTCAAAGGGTTGACTTTGGCCGGCCTGGTATCTTCTGATTCAAAAGCACCCACGATCGTTACCAACACCGTCGGTTCCGAAAAGGGAGGGATCGACATCGAAGTTGGCACGGGAAACGGCGGAGGAGACAAGTTTGAAGGCAGAAGCGGCGGAGGTGGTGGGGATAACAGCGGCGGAGGAGACGATAGTGGGAGTAAAGGAGAAGGGGAGTTTCCGGACGACGGCGGTGAGAGAAAGATGGCTTTGTCTATGTCCCAGAAGTTGACTCTTGGATATGCTGCACTTGTTGGAGGTAAAATTCTTGACCTCCTTCGCTTCTTGGTGCTGATATTTGATTTGGTTTTTGGGTAATTTAGGCTTAAGTTTAAGCTTGGTAGTAAAATGAATTTGGTGATAGATTTGCTATGGACGTTGGAATTGCAAATGTGCAGATGTTTCATTTTGACTAAGGGGTTCTTATTGTTTTTGTTAATATGTGTGTGTGTGTGTATTAGTGGGTGGTGCTATGGGCTATATGAAGAGTGGCAGTCAGAAATCGCTTGCTGCGGGAGGGTTGTCGGCCGCAGTGCTCTATTATGTTTATACTCAGCTTCCTACGAATCCAGTTTTTGCCTCATCCATTGGGCTTGGTAAGTCAGTCACTCTTTTTTTATGTTGTTGCCATTTTGGTGTTGTGTTTTTATGTTGCTATTGGGGGAAGAGGATGATGTACTATCCTATTGGGGGAAGAAAGGAAGAGATATCCAAAGTTGTTTTCCATGGTGGATTGTGGTTGTGTCTCAAGTGGTGAGGTTGGAAGAGACGGGGCTTGCCTTTTAGTGTTGAGCTTGTTATGAACATTGAATTCCAATTTGCCAGTTTAGTTTATTTTCACAGTGTTGCATTTGTGAAAAGGAAAGGTGAGAGAGTGGAAGAGGAATGGTTTAGGTTTTATCGTGGACTAAAGTTCTTGTCCATGGTGGGTTATGGTTTACATATCGAGTGACTAGGATAGAAGAAGGGGTCTGCCGGTTAGCGTTGAACTTGCCATAAATGCTGAATTCTAATTTGCCATTTTGTTGTTCTTTAGAGTGCTGAAAGGTGAGAGAGAGGAAGAGGAAGAGATTGTTGTCCAGTTTTATTGTTGTAAGAAAAGACACCTCTATAGTTCTTTCCAACAATGGTTTGTGTTCTTTCACGAACCAAGGTAGTACATAACAGAAAGTACAGAAACCACCTCGAGATAACACGTGCTTGTGTTTCTTAGCATGAAGCTTAAGAGAATTATAAGTGATTCTTCTAGTTGCTGACTTTGTTAACCTTTACTTGTAGGGAATAAGGATGTGAATCTTTTAAGTTCTCATTCGAATGTTAATTATAGACATGAGGCCATTAATAGGATTTAGCTTCATCTTGTTTAACCCTATTTACGTTAATGATATCTGATTTGAAGGTATATCTGCTGCACTTTTGGGAGTGATGGGTTCCCGTTTCAAGAGGTCAGGAAAAGTCTTCCCTGCCGGTGTTGTGTCGCTTGTGTCCCTTGTGATGACGGGAGGCTACCTACATGGCATAATGAGGAGTATGCACTAGTGTGAAGTAGTAGTCTTATGCTCAAACCACATGGTGTTTTGGTATGCAGCTACATATAATGCTTTGCTATGTCTTTAACATTTTAAATTGTGAACTGTTTTCTTTAGACCATTGCTTTTGTATTTGGATGTCTTTTACTCCTTCATGCCAATAAGAAATAGTGCACGCTTTTTCAGCTTTGAAAATTTGAAATTTTGGAACATTATGCTTTTAATGATATCAAAACGGTATTCATAAGAAATACTTGACTCAATATTTTTTATAAGATACTTTCCAGTTTACTTTGCATTTTACAATAATAACACATCTAGGTTTAGTTTTTTTTTATCAAACATATATAAGGAATCCCATATGCTCAGCTTAGGCAACATGAGCTCGAGCTTTTGGTTGGAGCTCGTCTTGACGAACGGGTGACGTCCCAAAGCAGACAGAGACTGGTGAAGTTGCAGCACTGAGGTTGGCTTTGGTGTCATCGACCATTTTTGGCGCCAATGGACCAGGATATGGGTTCCTTTTCACCAGTCTACAAAAGGAAACAGATGCGTAAGTACACTTACCATACCTACATTAGCTTACAAGCAATGCAAATGAAGCTGGGAGAAGTTAGTTTTGAGTGTTACCAGCATGCTGTTTGCAAAGAGAAGTCCTGGGAAGAGGATCCGATCGAGCCTGTGGCTCAGGTGATGCCAACACATATATGGTGTTAAATAAAAGCCAACATTCCTCACAGAAATTGCATCAAAATACACTCTTCCGACATAGAAGATGAGTTGGGACGGAGCAAGACTCGGGGTATTTGGTCCATATGCTGGCATTGGTAGGGAACTTTCAAGGGACATACGTAAAATTAAATTTTATCTTAGGGATGAACTTTTAAAATATATAAAATTTTATGTTAGGGATGAATTTTTAAAATTTTAGGAGGAGACGGATTTATAAAATTTCAAGGGACGAAAATAGATTTTTAATAGAAAATATATAGAAAAATCAAAATATATGGTATTTTTAATTTTTCAGATAGATTGTTTCAGTCCGCTCTCCCTTTGGTCTATCCCAACAGCAGAACCATGGCTCACAACATTATTGAGCCTTGCACCAATATGACTATTGTTCTCTTTTCCTTCGCCCATGTGGAGCAAGGTAGAGTAATAATCATGCAACAGAGAACACTCCATGGCCGATGATGTTGTTTTAAATGACCAAGGAAATGAAACATAGAGCAAGTATAAGGAAAGATTTTATGTTTAGGGATTTGAATTTAAAAAGTTGTACCATTAAAAATCTCATAATGCAAAATTAGATCATTAATAGAAAATATAAAAAATATATTTAATCTATATAAAAATTTGAAATTTTTAAGAGTCGTGCATTCTCTAACACTCTCTAAGCATCCTTGAACAATTATAACTTCTAACCTATGCTTATTAAATCTACGACTTCAATACAATGGATGCGATGCTCAGGTCTTGGTTGTACAAAAAGTGACATTGTCACCATGATCCCTATAACAAGAAGCACATGTTGCTCTTTTCTTCTTCTACTCGCTGCACTTAAGCCTGTTCTTACTTCTTCACGGGCGCATTTAGGGTCGGGATGAAACTATTAGTAAATGATAAATCGTATGAAATAAAACAAATGAAATGATTTACCATGTTGTTTAATTCATTGTCTTAAAAATTAAATTGTTCAAATTAATGTAATCGAAAGAAGGTACGTATCCTAAGATTAACACAATCACCCAAAATAAAAAACCAAAACTCAAAATAATATCGTCTTTTCTAATAAAAAAATATTGGCAAATATAATTATTCTAACACATACTTAAATTTTAATCTATAAATTGATTTAACACACAAAACTAAATCAAAAAGAAAATGAAAAAGTAAAGAAAAGTTTAGATCATAATAATTGGGTAATTGATAAATTTAATGATCATTTTATAATTTATGAAACTTTAATAGCCAAAATGATTATTATGACATAATTCAACGACAACTGATACAATTTACTCCAAAACAATCTAAAGATTCTTCTAAGCATCTAGCCGTCATTAGTGTCTGCTTTGGACGCCAAATTCCAATCAAAACCGAGCATCAACTGGGCTCATCGCAACTAAAAGCCCAGTAGTCGCTCACGGAGTCACGGTCATCTCGATAGATATCATCCTCAATTCAATTTCCACAGATCTCGTCGGATCTGCTCATCCCGATCTTCACAAATTTCTTAATTCCGTCTCCAATTGATTGTCTCTCAGAACAAAGAGCGGTAACTTTCATTCTTCATTCTTTGTTTCTCTTATTTCCGTTTCTCTATTTGTATGTATACACTCGTAGATCCTAACAGTCTTCTTCAACGATCTGCTTCAATTTCTATAAAATAATGGCTAATCACTTCATTTCTGCATTGACGTTTTCGTTGTAGGCGGGAGAGAAGGAAACTCTGGAACTATCGTGTTGGAAGCATCGGCTTAGATCGAAATGGCGGCAGGTGGATTTGTGAGCCGGGCTTTCGAGTCGATGCTCAAGGAGTGTGCTGGCAAAAAGCATCCCGATCTTCAAAAGGCTATTCAAACTTATCTAGGTTAGATCTGTACTTTCTTTTTTAGATTTTATGTTATCGATCTTCATTTCCTTTATTGTTTCTTAGAAATTCTTTTGCTCACCGTTTATCTGGAATTGTTTTCATGATTATAATTTCTTTGTTTTTAATCTGTTTTCTTTTTTTTTCTATTTTCTAGTCTAGTTTTTATTCTCAGCGAATGAACCGGCCTTGTGAGTTAAAGAACTTTTAAGTTCGGATTATGCTCTATTGATTTTTCCACTGCGTTAGCCGTTGTTTAGCTATTTAAGTTTTGCTTCTAATTCATTTGCATTCTACTATACCATCACTTGTAATGCAATTAGAATGGTATTTAGGGATATGAAATGGAGTTTAGTAGCAGTTGTTGTTCTTTTCATGCTATAATCTCTTTTGGCATTAGGTTAAGAAGTATTTTTTATGGAGTAAATGATGCCCATCTTATTTAAGTTATTACTTTCGTATTTTAATGAGAAAAAGAGTGAGTGAGATTTATGTTATATGTCTGATGGAATTTAGAAGGGAGATTGTTTTCAGTCAAGATGGGAAATTGCAAAAGAATAATGCAAAGATAAATTTATAATGATCCCATTTCTTTTTCTTTTTATAACGCTTGTTCTAGGAATTAGTTTTTTCTTCTTTTTCACCTGAAATCTATAGTAAGTGTGTAATTAAGAGGAAAAAAAGAGGATGGTAGAGTAAAGATTTGGACCCTTCACTTCCTACTATGCACTGTCTCCATACATTAAGTAGAAGATATGTTCACTAGTTTTCTTCAATTTTTGAACTTATCTCTGCATGTTATTTCTTGTTTAAATTGCTGTGGATTGGTCATAGCTTTCATCTATTACTTTTGATCATTTTTGTTTTTGCATTTCTTCAGATGGTCCTAAGCAAACAATTCAGCATTCTTCATCCAGTGAGCCAGACCAAGCAGCGCCTCCCACTGGAGATGGAAGGTTTGTATCTGATCAGTCTTATAACCTGCTACTCCTTTTTTTAGTTCCAACTTGATTCATCCCTAGTTTTTTACCCAAGATATAAACTCTACAAAATAGCCTTTTGATATATATGTTTCTTTGTTCTATTAGTTTACAGTTGTTTGTTCTCCATAGGTTAACAGCTGAAGTTTTGCCTATCACCATAACCTTTTTCAGATTCAGCCTACGTGGCCTTGTAAAATATGTTATTAATTGATATTACTTGCAGTAGTGTTATCATGACTGAAGTTTAACAATTATCAATGGCTTCTAATTTTAAGTTTTGGTCTTGTAGTTCCCATGAAACTGAAACTGTAGCTGAAAAAACTGGAACAGAACCTGATGGATCAAGCACAGTTTCAGAAAATGCGGGGGATACTGAACATGGTAGTAAGCCAACAGGTGCAAGTGGAACTATAATAACTGCCTTAGCAAATGCAGGATACACCTTGGAAGGGGCTGAGGTGGAGCTTGTTTTAAATCCTCTTCAACTGGCATTTGAGACAAACAACTTAAAAATCCTTGAATCTGCTTTGGATTGTCTTCATGTATGTAGTTTTTCTTTCTTGATCTGAATACCTGTTAAATACTCCTAAAGGGATCCCTGTCTTGGTTCTTTGATTTTGGAAATTTTAATGCCTTCATTTTCTACATAGTTGATTACTTATGATCTGTTTAATTCCTTAAGCACAGAAACTAATTGCCTACGATCATCTGGAGGGAGATCCAGGTTTAGATGGCGGTAAAAATGTTCCTCTGTTTACCGACATTCTGAATATGGTTTGTGGTTGTGTTGATAATTCTTCACCTGACAGGTGTGTGGCCTTGTCTGTTAACCTTATTTTTAGCCTATGCCTCTTGTTATGCATTTTTAATTCCAGAAAATGATTTGCAGCACAATTCTGCAAGTGTTGAAGGTACTTCTTACTGCTGTAGCATCCACTAAGTTCCGAGGTAAGTTGTCCAGGATCATGTGGTATTCTCATCTGTTTTATTGTATAGCTTCTGAATTGAGTTGTGTTGCAATTTACTTATTAAAAATGCAGTCCATGGGGAACCTTTGCTTGGAGTTATCAGAGTCTGCTACAATATTGCTCTTCACAGGTATTGTTTCTATTTGTTGAAGATAGTGATAGTCCAACTTAATATTTCTCATAATTTGTGGCTTGGATGTGTAGCAAGAGCCCGATAAACCAAGCGACATCAAAGGCAATGTTAACACAGATGATTAGCATCGTATTTAGGAGAATGGAGGCTGATCCAGTATGTGTTTTTTAAACCAAGCCATTAACTACTTTTTCTTTCCTCTTTTATATCAGGATGAAAGTTGATAATCATGTATTTTTTAAATGGAATATAGGTTTCTACTTCATCTAGTTCGTCTGATCATACTGAAGCTGCTTCAATGGAGAATTCTGCCTCAAAAGCTGAAAAAACTTCCTCAAATGATCAAAATGATGATGAAATGACTTTAGGGGATGCACTTATTCAGGTCAAGGATACCACACTTGCATCTGTTGAGGAACTTCAGAACCTTGCTGGTGGTGCTGATATTAAGGTGCATCTTTTTTATTTGCCATTTGTTGTTTTGATAAATTTGACTTGGGGAACTCGGGTTTTTGTATGGCTCTATATGTGTTTGCTTTGGTAATGCTTGTTTTTATTTTATTTTGTTTATGGTTTTTACAGTGTCATTTAAATGTTTTATAGGGTTTAGAGGCTGCTCTTGACAAAGTTGTGCATGTTGAGGATGGTAAGAAAATCACAAGGTATGTACTAAAAATATTTTACCCAAAATTTCAGTTTTGGTTTTCTTTCTTTCCTTTGTATGTCGTTGCTTCATGTCATGATTCTTGAAACTTTTCTTTTAGAGGGATTGATCTTGAGAGCATGAGTATTGCTAAGCGTGATGCATTACTAGTGTTCCGCACCCTTTGCAAGGTTGGTTCTTTTATCACCAATTATTATTGCCATTTTGAGGTCATTGCTTTCATTCCCTTCATGAAATATTTTATCTTGCAGATGGGTATGAAGGAGGATACTGATGAGGTCACAACCAAGACACGCATTCTGTCTCTTGAACTTCTGCAGGTTAATTTTATGAATTTATTTTATGCTTTGTAAGAAAACTGGTTTGTATTCTACTAGTCTTTGAATAAAGAATTCAGTGTTTTCCCAAATATGTGGGTTCATCTTTATAAATGCGTCATTTTTTAATTCTCTTGTTAAGATGATATGTTTTCTATTTTCATTCTATTGGGGAAGCATCTATTTATCCTCATTGTATTTGAGTTTGAATATATGAGTAGCTTTGACATTGTAGAATAGACTTCCATTGGTAGCCCTAAAATAATCTCAGCATAAACATTGTTTTAAAATGCCCAAATTCGTTTATTTTTTAAAGGTAATAACGGAATGATTACTAATGTTGTTCACCATATTTGCTGGTCTATGCTATTTCAGGGTTTATTGGAAGGGGTTAATCATTCATTTACAAAGAACTTTCATTTCATTGATTCAGTGAAAGCATATCTCTCATATGCTTTGTTGCGGGCTTCCGTTTCACATTCCCCCGCCATTTTTCAGGTTATCTTGCATTTATGTTCGCTCCTGATTTGTTGGAAGAATCTACTACGATAATTTGCCTGACTATTTATTTCTTTCTGGCAGTATGCTACTGGGATATTTGCTGTGCTTTTGTTGCGATTCCGAGAGAGTCTTAAAGTATGATTATCATCTTGACAGATTGTTAGAGCTAGTTCTTTCAAACATGGTGCTAGTTTTGTGATACACACCAGTTCTGCTTGATGCCCGAGTTTCTTTTTTTATCTCTTTCAGGGTGAAATTGGTGTCTTTTTCCCCTTGATTGTTTTGCGGTCATTGGATGGTTCAGACTTCCCCATTAACCAAAAAATGAGTGTTCTTCGGTACAGTGCCTTTTCTAATTGATTGGATGATGCAATTACCAATGCTAATTGGTTTAAGTTAAACTGTGTTTTTCACTGTTCAGCTTTCATTATCTTCAAAGTAGTTTGTGATTTTATTTAATATTATCTCATCTTTATTTATTTATTTACTTTTTTAGGATGCTTGAGAAAGTTTGCAAGGATCCCCAGATGCTTGTTGATGTTTATGTGAATTACGACTGTGATCTAGAGGCACCAAACTTATTTGAACGCATGGTATGAACTTAGTTACTATTTACATGCCATTTATTTATATGTTTACATGTTGTTCTTGGCTTTTTTATATAAGCCTACCATTTGCCTTATGATCCTGTAGGTCACGACTCTGTCTAAAATAGCTCAAGGGGCACAAAATGCTGACCCGAACCCTATTGCTGCCAACCAGACTACTTCAATTAAGGGTTCTGCACTCCAGGTAGGTTAATCTTGCTCTACTAGATCAGCTTGCCAAGTATATGGTCTATTATTCGTTTGAATTTCTATGCTTCCATGTCCACCATTGTTTGATATTGTTGTACTTGAACTATTCAGTGTCTTGTCAATGTACTGAAGTCACTGGTTGACTGGGAGAAATCTCGAGGAAAGTCGGAAAGGAAGAGGGGAGGAAGCTGGTCTCCTGAAGAAGATCCTACTGGAGAATCTGTTGAGTTAAAAAGCAGGGACGATGTTCCCAGTAACTTTGAGAAGACAAAAGCCCATAAATCTACCATGGAAGCTGCCATCTCTGAGGTAAGTGATTGGGTTTTACGCTCAAGGAGCATTTCACACTGGAACTTTTCTGCAATTTGGATATATGGCAGTTCAACAATCCTCAATTTCTTGAATTGTAATTAGATTCTAAATTACTGTTTTAATTATATGGCAGTTCAACAGGCAACCAGTGAAGGGTATTAGGTACCTGATATCAAATAAATTGGTGGAAAATAATCCTGCCTCAGTTGCCCAATTTCTAAGAAATACTCCCAGCCTGGACAAGGTCAAATCCTTATATGATGCAACTTTTGATTAATTGCTGGAGAAATGGTCTAATGCTTAGTATTGTTGCAGGGAATAATCGGTGATTATTTGGGTCAACATGAGGAGTTTCCCCTTGCCGTCATGCATGCTTATGTCGATTCAATGGCATTTGCAGGAATGAAGTTTGATACTGCAATACGAGAATTTCTTAAAGGATTTCGTCTTCCTGGGGAGGCTCAAAAGATAGATCGCATCATGGAAAAGTTTGCAGAAAGGTATGGGGGTATCTGTGCTATGTGCATGAAGCAGTCATTTTCCTGAAATGTAAACATAAGCTTGACTTTATTAAATTATAGAAACAGACTTGATGTTCTTTAGTTTAGTGATGGTTCTTTAGCCATTCCAGGTAGGTTTTATGCCAAAATTTCACTGGTAAGGTTATTGTTAGAAGTGTCGATCATCATTGCACAGATAAATTCCACTGTCTTGAGAACACCGTCCTAATATATCTTAAGCATTGTTCGCACTTCCATCTGTTGTTTGTTTCATTAGCTTAGAAAAGTGAGCCAGTTTAGTGTTTGTTTCAAGGAAGGGAGGGAGGCTTTTTTGGATAAAATTAGAAAGATGGAGGAAGGTGCAGGGGTGACTAATGAAGCTGGTTAGTGAGCCAGTTTCTGTTTCTCGAAGGTTTGGATTGAAGTGTTTATGATGGAGTGCAATATTTTTTCTTGGAATGTTAGGGGCTTAGGAAGAAAGGAAAAAATTAGAGGGGTGTCGAGACTTGTAAATAAGATCAAATCAGTCATATTGCTTTTACAGGAGACAAAACGGAGTAAAAGCCAGAAGGGACTTAGTAGGAAATTAGGAGGAAAGTTGCTGAAGGGAGTAAGTTTCCAGCCAGCGGATGGGTCTGCTGGTGGATTGATGTGTTTGTGGAATGAAAATGCTTATGAGGTAAACGAGGTGTTTAATCACAGTAGATTTCAGGTGTTATCAGGGAAGTTCAAGGTGTCTAAAGTGGAGTGTGTTGTTATTAATGTGTACGGTCCTTCGGTAGTGGAAGAGAAGGAGGAGTTTTTCAGGCAGCTGTTGAGTTTTGTTCACTCGGTAAATCTGCCAGTTTGCATTGAGGGAGATTTTAATGCTTATCTTGAACAAGAGGAGAAGATTGGTGCATCACAAAATTGGCATTCAATGGGTCTGCTGAGGAATTTCCTGCAACAATCAAATTTAATAGATCTTCCTTTGGTAGGTGGAAATTTCACTTGGGGTAGTAATAGAGAAACCACTACGTGGGTAAGGCTTGATCGTTTCTTATTGAGCAGTAGCTTCTTAAGTTGCTTCCCCAAGGCGATTCAGAAATTGCTCCCTAGATCTCTTTCTGATCACAACCCGATATTATTGGTAGAAGATGGGAAAAACTGGGGACCTAAACCCTTTCGATTTTTTAACTATATGCTGGAGGATAATGGTTTTGTAGATATGGTTCAAAATGTAATGTCAGATCGGGTCAATGGAGGGGGAAGTGGAATGTATAGTTTATTACAAGGAACTAAAAAACGTATCAAGGAATGGCCAATCAGAAGTAAACATGGGATATTTGAAGCTATTTCAGGGTTGGAGAGCAAAATAAATGACTTGGAAATTAAGGCGCAAGGCAGTGGGCTTTCTACTTTGGACTGGGATCAGCTTCTGTCATCCAGAAAAGAGCTCTGGAAAATGCACAGGATTGAAGAAAGTATTTGGTTTCAATTGTCGAGGGTGAAATGGATTAAAGATGGTGATAGAAACACTAGGTTCTTCCACCAATGTGCTGTAAACAGAAACAGATTCAACACTATTTCGGCATTGAAAGTGGATGGGGAGGAGATGACAGATCTAGAGTTGATAAAAAATTTTGTCTCCCAGTTCTTCAAAGAAGCCTATAATTCTAAAGATTTTTTAGAGGTGGAGAACTTGAATTTAAATTTTGATAAATTGAGTGGAGACCAAAGGAATAGCTTGGAGGTTATGTTTTCAGAGGAGGAAGTAAGGGAGGCTATTTTCTCGTCGGACAGCTCTAAAGCTCCAGGTCCTGACGGTTTTACGATGGGTTTTTACAAGAAATTCTGGTCAACTATGAAGGGGCAACTTATGAAGTTTATGGAGGATTTTTATTATGGGAGAAAATGGGATCATGGAGTCAATCATGTGTTCGTTTCTCTGGTCCCAAAGAAAAACAATCCGGAAGTTATTGAAGATTATAGACCTATAAGTCTAGTTGGCAGTCTCTATAAAATCATTTCCAAAGTGTTAGCAAGGGGACTAGTTTCAGTGATTCAAGATATTGTGAGCCCTTCACAGTTTTCATTTATTCCGGGGAGACAACTTCTAGATTGTGCTTTTATTGCAAACGAAGGCATAGATTGTTGGAGGAAGCAAGGGCTGAAAGGGGTAGTTTTCAAGGCTGATTTTCAGAGGGCGTATGACTCGGTTGAATGGCCAATTATCTTTAGATTATTGAGAGTCATGTGCTTTGGGGAGAGATGGGTTTCCTGGATAAAATGTTGCCTCTCCACGGCGTCTATATCAGTGTTAGTGAATGGCTCTCCTACAAAGGAGTTCTCGATGGGCAAAGGGTTGAGACAAGGATGTAGTTTGTCTCCTCTCTTGTTTAATTTAGTGGGGGAACTGTTGAATCGTATGTTAAAAAAAGTGGCGGATGTGGGACTTTTTCAGGGTTTTGCTTTTGGAAGATCGGATTCCCTTAGTCTAACTCATTTTTCAGTTTGCGGACGATCTGATTTTGTTTTGCCGAGACTCACCTACTTACATTCTTAATATTAAGAGAGTCTTGAGGATTTTTAGCATAATGACTAGACTCCATTTGAATTTGTCGAAGAGTAATTTGTATGGAATTAATGTGGATGACGAGGTTTTAAATGAATGGGCTAAGGAGACTGGTTACGCCGTTGGGGTTCTTCCCACAGTTTATTTAGGTTTACCATTAGGTGCAAAAAGAAATTCAGAGGCTCTGTGGGAGCCAGTCGTGCAAAATTTTAACAAAAAATTATCCGGATGGAAAGTTTCCACACTATCTATGGCGGGCAAATTGGTGTTGATTAAATCAGTTCTATCATCATTGCCAATTTTCTTTCTCTCTATTTTCAGAATTTCGAGTAAGGTTTATAGGAAGTTAAATTCTATTATGGCAAACTTTTTGTGGGGGGAAGGTTCTTCAAAAAATCGAATTCACTGGGTGAATTGGAAAAGGGTTTGTCAACCCCTAGAGGAGGGAGGTTTGGGAATCTTGGATTTGAATTTTGCTAACAGAGTGCTGCTAAGTAAATGGGTATGGAAGTTTGCAAATGAAAAAGACACTTTGGAAGAACATGATTTGCAGTAAACATAATGTGAGTATGCTGTCTTTAGGCCTCAACAAGGTAGTCTCTCCTTCGGATTCTTGGATATGGAAGGGTATTACAAAAAACTACTTTACAGAGGACGCAATTGGAATTGGTTTGAGAACTCACTCGAAGATTCAAGTAGGCAATGGAAAGTCGATTGTATTCTGGCATGATGTGTGGCTAAATGAGGATTCTTTAAAGAATCAATTTCCAAGGATTTATGCTCTTTCTAACAACAAATGGGGAAAAGTTTCAGAGTTTGGCAGTCTCTTGAGTAATAGATGGATTTGGAACATTCAAACGAGAAGGAATCTGTGTGATTGGGAGATGGATTACTGGATTCGATTGATGTCATTATTGGAGAATGTTGGTCTGTCTGATTCGGTGGATGATTTTCTGGCGTGGTCGGGGAAGGGAGATGGACTGTTCACCGCTAAAGCTTGTAGATTGACTCTTTCTTCCAATTCAGGGGGAAGCCTCATTTGGAAAAGGTTCGTTTGGTCAGGTTTGGCTCCACCAAGAGTCGAAACCTTTCTCTGGCAGGTTTCTCATCAAAAATTGGCAGTTAGAACGGAGTTAATAAGAAGAGGTGTTACATTGGAGGAGGTCTCTTGTCCGTTTTGAGCTAAGCAGGAGGAAACAGTTCAGCATTTGTTCATATCGTGTTTGGTTGCATAGGACCTATGGAGCAGTTTCTGGAGGTCATGGGGAATTTCGTCAGTCTTGCCTAAAGATCCAATCTCTTTGCTGTGTACTTGGTCGGACATGAGGCCAAAGTCAATAATATGGAGCTTTATACCGGGGGTAGTTCTATGGACATTATGGAAGGCTAGAAACTCGGTGGTTTTTGATGATAGGAAAATGGACACTCCTACTCTTTTCTTCATTTGCAGATTTAGATTGGCTAAATGGTTCCTAACTAAGCACCCGAACGTTATTATTCAGGTTGACTCTCTTGTAGGGGACCCTACACTTGCAGACAAGCATTATACTAGGGTCCCTAAAAGGAAGAAGGTTCAGGGCTGGCTTCCTCCTCCACTTTATTTTTTTAAAATTAATGTGGATGGGGCAATTAGTGGGGACGGGCTGCTGGGGGGAATTGGGGGTATTTTAAGAGACTCGGAAAGTAAAATTCTTGGGTCTTTCTCGCACGCTGTTGGTCCAGGTCTTCCTCCACTCGCAGAGCTGAAAGCCATTGACTTTTTTCTCTCGTCGGAATGGGCGATGAAAGGAAGGTTAATTATAGAGAGTGATTGTAAATCAGTGGTGGATTGGATTTTGCTGCCGACATCATCTCCTCGTTTTATTAGTTCGTTGGTTCAAAAAATTGTTTCCCTAATCTTGGAGAGGGAGATCATTGTTAGACATATTCCGAGGAGCTGCAATTGTGAGGCTGATACTTTAGCTAAACAGGGGATTTGATGAATATTTATAATAGCCTTAGAGATTTTTTATTAGGGTTGTTGGTTTATGGAGGTTGTTGGGGCTGTGATAGTTTTGCTGTTGTGTAAGGGAGGTCTGGTCGTATAGGGGGTTTGTTTATTTGTTCTGTAATTTTTAAGGTTTGGTTAGTTTGTCTTCTGGTTGTATTTTATGTACTTTGTCTATGATTAATAAAATCCTAAGGCACTCTTTTCCTCCCTCTGCTGATTAAGGAGCTTTCCTAAAAGATCCATTAATCAAGAGGGGTTTTTAATGAGGCCTGTAATTCTTATCAAAAAAAAAAATTAGCTTAGAAAAGTCATACAACTATCGTTCTTTAAAAACTTCTGAGGTTCTTTCTATAACGAGTCTAGTGGCCAAGATGAATAGGAGTTACATGCCTTTGTTGGAAAATCATTACTTTTGTATAAACAATTTTACTATATTTTCAGTGAGTTTTTTAAACAATTCTTGATGTTCACTTGTCTTGTTGATTACACACACGCCTTTCTGCAGGATCAGTGATGAGTTATCTCATTTTGTGTTTGGCAGGTATTGTGCTGATAATCCAGGTCTTTTCAAGAATCCAGACACTGCATATGTTCTTGCATATGCAGTTATAATGCTGAACACTGATGCCCATAACCCCCTGGTCTGGCCTAAAATGTCAAAGTCAGACTTTATTCGTATGAATGCAACAAATGATCATGAAGAGACCGCCCCTACTGAACTTCTGGAAGAGATATATGATTCGATTGTTAAAGAAGAGATAAAAATGAAAGATGACGTAAGTGGCATTGGGAAAGGTGTCGGGCAAAAGCCAGAGGGAGAAGAGAGAGGTCGTCTTGTTAGTATCCTTAACCTGGCTCTACCTAAACCAAAATCAGCAGTTGATGCTAAGTCTGAAAGTGAAGCAATAATTAAGCAGACACAGGCTATCATCAAAAACAAAGCAGCAAAGAGAATTTTTTACACTGCAGAGAAGATTGTACTTGTGAAGCCCATGGTTGAAGCTGTAGGATGGTCGCTGCTTGCTACCTTCTCTGTTACAATGGAGGAAGGTGAAAATAGGGCGAGGGTTGTTCTTTGTATGGAAGGATTTAAAGCTGGGATACATATCACATATGTCCTTGGAATGGATACAATGCGTTATGCCTTTTTAACATCTCTGGTCAGGTAAAGCTATCTCTTTCTACTTGGAAAAGTTCCTTTTGTTTCTATTATTGCCAAGTTGTTTCCCCATCCTTACCGTTTTTATCCATTGCTTTTGTTTTACCTTGTCATTGTGTTTATTCTGGTCTTACCTTGTCTTATGTTGTCCTGCCCCTGCATCAATAATTACTTTGTTTAATTATGCAATTTATACGTCAACCATTGTAATTCTCTTAATCCTTGGGCAGTACTTTAGCTACGATACTTAGTCTGCGAATTTTGGATGTTAGGTTTACTTTCTTGCATGCCCCAAGGGATATGCGTAGTAAAAATGTGGAAGCATTGCGGACTCTATTGGGTTTATGCGACTCCGAACCTGACTCTCTTCAAGACACGTGGAATGCTGTTCTTGAATGTGTTTCTCGGCTTGAATTTATTACGACAACTCCTGCAATTGCTGCAACTGTCATGCATGGATCAAATCAGATATCCAGGGATGCTGTTGTGCAGTCACTGAAAGAATTGGCTGGGAAACCTGCTGAACAGGTTTTTACAAATAGTGAAAAATTGCCTAGTCATTCAGTTGTGGAGTTCTTCACTGCTCTCTGTGGTGTATCAGCAGAAGAACTAAGACAAACCCCAGCTCGTGTTTTCAGCTTGCAGAAGCTTGTTGAGATCAGTTATTACAATATTGCTCGTATACGTATGGTATTTCCTTCAGACTTACTGACTGCAACATTCTCTTGTTTTTGTTTATAATTACTTATCAAGATTTTATAGCTAGTCATATTCTGAAACTTCTTATGTAGATTAAGATATGCATTACCTCAATGGGTATATCGAAATATTGAGGAGAAACATGTAGGAATACCAGAGAGAGGACTCCTTAAAATGCTCCGACCATCTTTGAATTCCACCCATCTTCTCTTAGTTCAAAGCTTTTCATTCCTTCTTGAAAGTTCTTTTCTAGGAAAAAAGGTTCATAAATTACATGATTTATTGTGCCATGCTCTCTTGATAAACTGTAGATAAAATTCTGTAAAAAGTTTAAATAACGCATTGAATAAACTTTATATGTAAAATTACTCTAATTTACTTGAACATAACATTTTATGTTAATTTGGTTTTCTTTTACCACATACTAGCACTTTTTTTTATAGAAGATTAGGCCTCATTAAAACCCCATTTTTCACCCTCCATGTTATGAAAGTAACATGAAGGAGAAAGGAGGAAAAGAGTGCCTAAAATTTATTAGATGAAACAATAGTACAACCACACCTCAACCGAGACAGACAGAAACCATAACATTACCCTATCCCATCTTTAGCTAATTTGTCAACTTCCCAATTTGCAGCCCTCAAAATGTGCCTAATAATGATATCCTTCCCTGCCATAAGAGAAACTATATCCTTCACCAATAATTGAAACATAGGAGTGCATGAACCCGGACTCTTGATCCACTTCAGAGCATTGCTTGAATCTGATTCGAGAATAAACCTCTGATTAAGAACAAAACTTAAATCTTCCAGAATACATAACCCCCTCTTAATCGCCAATAATTCTGCCAAGATAGGAGGACCACCCCCAACTCTTTCTGAAAAACATTGAAGCACCATACCTTTGCTCTCCCGAATCAGTCCACCAATACCTCCCTTATCCCAGCCCTTTGCCATTGCTCCATCAACATTTAGCTTTAAGAACCCATCCGGAGGAGGAACCCAGCAAATTGGTGTAGAGTTACCATTTCCCTGTCTTCCCACCAAGTCAGCAAGTTTTAGATCACCCACTAGTGAGTCTAAAGGGATATGCACATCCTTGAACTTTGCAACAAACCAGTAAGCTATTCTAAAACGAACAATAAAAAGCAGTCTCACCACATCCAACTTTACTTTCTGAAAAATAACCTCGTTTCTACATTTCCACACTGACCACATCAATGCCCTTGGAATAAATTTCCAAATCAAAGAGTTCGGAAGTAAATCATCCCACAAATTTAAAAAGTCAATGATATTCTTTGGAATCACAAAGGACAAATTCCAGATATTCAAAAATCTGGACCACAAACCCCATACTACCTCGCAATGCAAAAAGAGATGACTAACTGATTCCATTTCCCTACCACACAATGAATAAAAAGAGGTGATTATGTTTTTTGTAATGGTGTTTATCCTCGTTTGAGGGTATTTCGTGTTTTCATATGTAATGAGGCGTTTTATTCAATGAAATATGAGGTACTCTTTTCTTTCTTCCTATGTTCATTAACATACTTCTTAGTATGTGGACGAATACGAAGGGAGTTTTTAATGAGACCTCCAACTTCTATAAAAAAAAGGATCATCAATCCCTGCCACACCTCGCTTCAGTAATTCCTCCTTAACCGCCACTCTGTGATGAGCAACTTGCCAAACAAATGTCTCCACCCGTGGAGGAGCAATCCCTACCCAAATGTGCCTCTCCCAGATCTCCTGCTGAAAACCATCTTGATCAAAGAAAATGTTGATACAAGATTTAGCTGAAAAACAACCCTCACCATTTCCTGACCAAATCCAACAGTCTTCCTCACATGGAGATATAGAAATATTGTTCAACATAGAAATCAACTGCAACAGCTGTTCTATCTCCCAATCCGCCAAATTTCGCCTCATTTGAATGCCCCACACCCAACCAATGCCATTATTCACCCTAAACTCCATCACTTTACCCGATTTGTTACTCGAAAGAACATAGAGTCTAGGAAACTGAATTTTCAAAGGTACTTCACCCAACCATACATCGTTCCAGAACTGCACAGAATTCCCCTTCCCTGTCTTCAAACGCAAATTCTTCCTAATACAATCCCCAAAACCGTCATCGATAAAGAAATTTTTAACCACACCTCCAAATCCATGATGCACGGGCTGGCCACGAATTCCCGGTCATAATGCATTTCGGATCCATGTCATATACACCACATACCACCCTCTTCCACCAGGACTCTTTCTCTGATGCAAACTTCCATACCCAGTTCCCCAATAATGCTCTGTTCAAGAGTGATAAATTTGGTACCCCTAAACCCCCAATTTTTTTGGTTTACTAACCGCATTCCAATTTAACCAATAGATATTTTTTTATCCGCCACACCCCCCCCACAAAAATGAAGCCATGATAGAATTAAGTTAGCACAACAACTGGAATTTTGAAAATGGAAAGAAAATAAACAGGGAGCGAGCACAACATTGTTTTAACCAACACTACCCTTCCTGCAAGCGATAGGGAATTAGACATCCAACCACTCAACCTAGCATGAAATCTCTTCACTATTGGCTCTCACATAGCAACCGAATTTCTCTTGTACCCCAAGGGTAAACCTAGATACTCTGATGGGAAATAGCCTACCGAACAATCAATATCATTAGCCCAAGTAGCTAACACCCCATCCTCAACATTGATACCATAAATTCTGCTCTTAACAAGATTAATCTTCAACCCCACCAGTAACTCGTATATTAATAACACTCTTCTAACATTCCTCAAATCACGAGTAGAACCTTTACTGAAAATTATAAGATCATCCGCAAATTGCAGATGCGAAAGCTTAAATGCCCTATCTTGAACACCTAGATCGAAATCTGAAAGCAGTCTCATGTCAACTGCTTTAGTTAGCAACAAATGCAGTAACTCACCGACCAAATTAAACAACAAAGGCGATAACGAACAACCCTGTCTCAATCCCCTCGCTGTGTGAAATTTCTCTGTAGGTGACCCGTTTACTAGAACTGAAATTGATGCTGAAGACATATATTGATACATCCATGACCTCCACTTTACACCAAACCCCATTTTGCTCATAATTTTCATCAAAATATCCCAATCAACCGAATCATAGGCTCTCTTGAAGTCCACTTTAAAAACTACTCCCTTCAACTCTTTCTTCCTCCAAAAGTCAATGCTTTCATTTGCTATAAACGAGCAGTCCAATATATTCCTTCCCAGAATGAAAGCAAATTGAGACGGACTCATTATATCATCAATACACAAGCTCAATCTTCTAGCTAAGACCTTTGATAAAATTTTATATAGCCCTCCGACAAGACTAATTGGCCTAAAGTCTTCCAACCCCTCCGGATTAGCCTTCTTAGGAATGAGAGAAATAAAGGAATAATTTACCTCTGAGTCCCACTCCTTCCCCTCATAGAAATCTTTAAAAAACAGAATCACATCATCCTTCAAAGAGGTCCAAAATTTCTTAAAGAAACCTAAATTTAGACCGTCCGGTCCTGGAGCTTTATTACTATCCGAATGAACGATAACATCCCATACTTCCTCTTCCGAAAATGGCTTCTCCAATGCTAGACACTGCCCTTCCGATAGTGTAAGAAAATCCAGATTTAAGTCTTCAACCTCCAAAGTATTCCTTTCATTAAACAACCCCTCACAGAGGCTTTAATAACACTGGGATCTTCCGTGACTACATTGTCAACTTTGAGAGATTTAAGACAATTTATCCTCCCTCTAATTGCCGCACTATGATGGAAAAATCTAGTGTTCTTATCTCCTTCCAATCTCCACTTTATTCTAGACTTTTGCATCCAAATGGATTCTTTTTTTTTTGTAGCTCTCATAATTCTCAATTTGCTTCAATAATAGATTGCATAGACACCATGTGAAGTCCTTGTTGCAAATCCATTTCCATATCCTGAATTCCTCTCTCCAGCATTCTGATTTTTCATGGCAGCTGAAGATAATCCCTCCTCGACCACCTCTTTGCCACATCCTTCACCCGATTAAGTACTTTAGAGATGGACATCGGATTCGCCCCTTTGCAGAATTTAGACAGCTCCGTTTTCATCATCTCACTAAACCCATCTTCCAACACATAATTAAACAACCGAAATGGTTTTGTCCCCCAATTACATTCCTTATTCTCCAACAAAATGATATTATGGTCAGAGACAGACCTTGGATGCAAAGTTTGGCTTAATTTTGAAAAAGACCAAAAATATGTCTGATCAACCAAAAACCGATCCAACCTCTCATAAGTGGGAATTTTCCTATTATTACACCACGTAAAACGACCTCCAAATAACGGCAAATCAATCAAATTCGTCTGACTAACAAAATCTCTGAAACAATTCATGGATATCGGATTCACTGCTCCTCTATCTTTCTCTTCCTGGGACAATACTGCATTGATATCTCCTCCTAAACACACTGGGCACTGAAGTTGTTCCAAAAAGGATGATAAATCCCTAAAAAATGCTCCTTATCTGTATCAACACTCGGACCGTAGACATTAATAAAACAACAAATTCCTTGTACCCCTTCCATCAACCCCTTTATTGCCACAAATCTACTATGGATGACTTCTTCCTTCACCACAAATTCCTTTTGATTCCACAAAGTTATTAAACCACCAGCAGAACCTACAGCAGGAACTGTTACTAAACCAGTTAGAATTTTGCCTCCCATTTTCCTTACTAACAAAGGACTTACAACTTCCAGTTTAGATTCTTGTAAAAATAAAATTGTAGGCTTTTTCTCCTCTACAAACCTCTTTATTGCTCGAGCTTTCACCCTCCTACCCAAACCCCTAACATTTCAACACATTATGGACCATTCTACCATCATAAACATACCATAACCTTAAATCCATATTCCTACTACCGACCATCAATCATCTCTCTCCTTTACCATAGGACCTACTTTGGTCAAGAAATCTGTCTCACCTCCTTTAAATTTAACCCCCAACAATTTAGAGACATTCCAACATTCCAAAGCTTCTGTCCTCCCCTGGTTCTCCTTTTCTGTAACATAATCACACCCCTTACCACTGCAACTTTTAACTTCCTAACTCCTAGCATACACATTCTTATAGAAACCTTTTTCAGCTTTACTGACTGAAGCACTCCTCCCACTAGGACGCCGCTGGGCCATTGAAAAACGTCCCATTCTATAGAGCAAAATCAGCTTGTATACAATTTATTAAATCTGCAGACTTAACCCCATTTCTATTTGTTCTTGGACTTCCCTGGTAAGGCCCAAACACCTCTCTCCCCCCATGCTGTAATTAAGCCCATCATCTTTGTCCACTTTATCTTATCCCGAGGTATCACCTCCCATGCCCTTCACCCTTTTCCTTCCTTCAGAAAAAACCCTTGACACTTGTTGCTGACTGTGAACCTCACCTAGTACTGTCCCCTCAGAACAAAAGTCAGCATCTAAGATATTATTGACTTATGCATTTTCTTTCAAATTTCCACCGGTAAGCGTGTCACCCCCATTTGTAGCATTCCTAACCCATGCTTCAACCCTGTTCTGAGTGTCTGCCATCTTTTTGAAATTCAACTGCTCCTGCAGACCCTCCCTATCATCCCCTTGATTCTCTTCTGACGAGGTCTCCTCCCATGGATCAGTTGTTCCCTCCACAGAACCCTCTTCATCAACTCCATCTTCTATCACAGGAAAGAAATCCTCACTGCCTTCCACTTTAATCTTAATAATAAAAGACCTTCCATAAGTGTTAATGGTGACATGGGATGGGATATCAAATGGGCTCTCAACCCTTAACAACATATGAGCTACCCTGCAATCCACTCTTTGAGCAGTATGCTCCTGGATCTTCACTACTTTGTCCCATCTCGATGCTAAACTTGTAAAGAATGAAACTGACCAACAGTTTAATGGGACTATCATGGAAACTGCACAATAAGGTAATGGGACACACTTCTCTTCCAAAACAGGCTCTAGCCTTTCGAACCAAAAGGACAATGCCTCCCACTTGTTTTCCACCGCTGCATCTTTCTCCTCCACGGACCGAAAGACTATCAAACATGCATTTTTTGCATAGCCCCACCTTACCACCTTGACATTGATTCCTTCACTTCTTAAAGCCCTCTGAACAAACTCAACTTCAAAAATCGCTTTACAAATACCTGTTAAAGACGTTCTCAGCCATGTTCTCTCCTCCATTGGAATAAAGACTTCCAAAGGCTTCTTCACCTCCCTCTTATCTCCAGAGTTGGAAACTTGCTGACCCTCAACATTTCTCACTCCCACTACCGTATCCTTATATGTTCTACCATCATGGAACTTATTCAACAGCTTCTTCCCAACATCAACATCTTGACATAATGGACTTTTCCTTTTGGAAACCTCCACACCTGCATCTCTAGACCCAGCTACACTGTTATGCTTAAGGTTCCCTGAAAAACTACTCTTCTGATATTTCGCAGTCGTTACCACTATTCTCCTCCCATCTACCATGACATTGTTCATCTTACTCATTGCATTAAGCAAATCCTCCTTACTTGCAAAGTGCACAAAAGCAAACGTTTTATCCTTATAATTAGGTCTTCTATTAACAAATGGAATGAACACCTTAACCACCTTGCCATGGAGACAAACGATCCCATAAAACACTTCTATGCACTCTCCTACTAAGATTATCTATGAATGCTACCCACGATCCTCCACCAAGCACTGCTCTACCTCTGCCAGGAGAACCATTGCCTCTCGGCTCCACACTCTCTCTCTCACTAACTTTCTCACTCATCGTTTTGTCAAATGAAGTATGTCCACATACTAGCACTTTTATACAATAATTAGTTTTGGATGTGCCATTTTAACAGACGAGCTGTTATGTTGACTTAGTGAGATCTAATTATGGTTTCTAAATTGACCATATATCGAAAATGATTTATTTTCCTACTAAAGTTCACGCTTTCTTACATTCTAAAAGTTTTAATGTTATGCCTTCCAGGTCTGGGCTAGAATATGGACTGTCCTTGCAGATCATTTCATTTCTGCTGGCAGCCACGCTGATGAAAAAATTGCTATGTATGCCATAGATTCTTTGAGGCAGCTTGGTATGAAGTATTTGGAGCGTGCTGAATTGACCAATTTTACTTTTCAAAATGATATTCTTAAACCTTTTGTCGTTCTCATGCGGAATAGTCGAAGTGGAACTGTAAGGAGCCTTATTGTTGACTGCATTGTTCAGGTTTGTCTGCATGTTCAGATTTTCTTAACACCTAGCTCTCCCGCTGGGTGATGTTTTTTCCTCTATCATCTACATTTTGCTGTTAATATATTTTCAATTTTAAATCTCTCAGTTTTTTCTTTCTCACTTGGATCCTTGTGTGACACTGAAACTTACAATGATGTTATTGCAGATGATAAAATCAAAGGTTGGAAGCATAAAATCTGGATGGCGAAGTGTTTTCATGATTTTCACTGCTGCTGCAGATGATGATTTGGAACCAATTGTTGAAAGTGCATTTGAGAACGTGGAACAGGGTAAGGAACTGCCATTTTTTTTTTCTGACTGATCCTTCTCTTCATTTTTCCAATGAATTTAACAGCAGGTTCCTTGCAGTTATACTGGAACACTTTGATCAAGTTGTTGGAGATTGTTTTATGGACTGTGTCAACTGTCTTATTAGGTTTGCCAACAATAAAACTTCTCACCGTATAAGTTTGAAGGCTGTGGCCCTTCTCCGTATATGTGAAGACCGTCTAGCGGAGGTTTGTTTTGTTTTTCATTCTTCAGCTTTTGTTACTTGAGCATGTTGTTCTCCCCTCTTGATATCTTCCATTGTACGTCTAAAACTAGTCACGATCGCCAACCCTTCTACCAAGAAGACTTTGTTTATCGTCTTTCTTATGATCAACATGCTATAATTTTTTATTTAACTTGGAAGTTTTCTATTAAATCTTTTTGCTCTTCTCTGTGGAAAACAAAGTTAATATTAGCTATTTCACCTCATTGATTATTTCAAACCATGTTTGTGAATTTGCAATTTCTTCTGCGTTCTTTTCTTTGTAATTGACATCTTTGTCAAGTGTTTCAACTTTTTTTTTCAATTACAGGGACGTATTCCTGGTGGCGCTCTTAAACCAATTAATGCTGATGGTGACACGTCGTTTGATGTAACTGAGCATTATTGGTTTCCAATGCTGGCTGGTTTGTCTGACCTGACATCAGATTCAAGACCTGAGGTTAGGAGTTGTGCACTTGAAGTTTTGTTTGATTTGCTGAATGAAAGAGGTAGCAAATTCTCAACATCATTTTGGGAGAGCATTTTCCATCGTGTCTTGTTTCCCATGTTTGATCATGTGAGACATGCCGGAAAGGAGAGCTTAATTTCCTCTGGGGATGTGTTGTTCCGTGAAAGCAGCATTCATTCTCTTCAGTTGTTGTGCAACCTTTTCAACATTTTCTACAAGGTACATGAGTTTTGTAGTTCTCTTAATATTATTATTCACATGATATAAAATGCAGAGGGTGGGGTTTAGTTTGTGTGACGGGAAAACATATTTCATCTAAATTCCCAATGGTCCATATAATCTTGTGTTTGGGGCAAGCTTTCCTGACGTTACTGGTTGCCGGAACTTTCTTGTCTTTTTGTTTCCTACAGGAGGTATGCTTTATGCTGCCACCACTCTTGAGTTTGCTGTTGGACTGTGCTAAAAAGTCAGATCAGACTGTTGTTTCAATTTCTCTTGGGGCGTTGGTCCATCTCATAGAGGTTGGAGGACACCAGTTCAGTGAGAGTGACTGGGATATGTTGTTGAAGAGCATAAGGTATGTATATCTTTAGATTTGAGAATGCATAATCTTTATACAATTAGAATTTTTATTTTCAAGTCGTGTATTTTGTTTACTTCATTCTTTATTTCCAGGGATGCATCGTACACAACACAACCGCTTGAGCTACTCAACACATTGGGACTACAGAATCCAATGAACCCCTCAATTTTAAGAGATTTAAAGGTTTATACAGATGGTGAAATTTATCAGTTTGGTTCTACTGATAATGGGAAGACTTCACCAGTTGCATCTCCAAGCGGCGCAAGGAATACTAACGCATCTCTTTCACAAGACCACAATCAAGAATTACAATCTATTCCAGATGGATATGAAGGTGAGCTATGGAGGATCTTTCCCCTTAAAACACACCAAACAGGGAATCTATATCTCCAACCGTTTGTAAGGGTTTTTTGGAATAGTTGTTCCAAGGTTGTAATTCTATTTTCTATAATGAAATTATAAGGCACTCTTTTCCTCCTTCCGATGATTAAGAAGCTTCTATACAAGCTCCATTAATCAAGAAGGAGGTTTTTAATGAGGCCTTCAAATCTTATCAAAAAAAAAATATCTTCATTAGTTAATATTATTCAAATACCAGAATTAGTTGCACTTTGCAGAATCATCTAACTTTTTACTAAGTTCAATTTTCTAACCGTATGCTGATGTCTTGTTTTCCTTCATACTCTGAGTAAAAGCTTGGCCCATAGACTACTGTCCATACAGCCCAATATGGACATTTGAATTTGTACATTAGCAAACCTGACGAATATAAACTGTCTTTCTTGTAGGTGTCCCCTCACCATCAGGTAGAGCTCAGAAGTCTGCTGAAGCTGGGAATCTACAACGAAATCAAACAATAGGTCAAAGAATCATGGGAAATATGATGGATAACATATTTGTTAGAAGTTTTACCTCAAAACCAAAGAGTCCTACATCAGGGACTCCAGTTCCATCTTCACCACTGAAGGTACGCAAGTGTCTTTGGTTGTGCCGTTTGGTGGTCAGTGATTCCTTTCTTTGTGTATTTGAAGTTTTACGTCTCTTTTCAATCGCAAGAGATGTTCTGTTTATTTATTTTTTCTTTCAAGAATTGTTACACTTGAGAATTTTTTGACATGTGATAGCTTCAGTTTCTGCCGCTGTTCTCTGTTGCTTTCTGCACAAGCCTTTAAAATGCTTGCTTATTTATTGCACTTACTTGGAAAAAAAAGGAAATGTATTTGTTGGACCAAGTTCGCTTTTTCCGATTAATGCAACTTTTTGCTTATAAGGATCAAGAAGCTGGTTTTGTCAATTCAATCTTGCCAATGTTTTTATTTAAGGATCAACCGAAGAAGTGTGGATGTAATGTGTTATTGACACGGTATGCATTCTCCCTTTTTCACTTACCCCTCTCTTGTTGATCCAACATTTCTCTAGGTTCCTGATTCTGCTGATGAGCCCGAAGCTAAAGATGAGGAGGAAAGTCCACTGATGGCAGCTGTTAGGGGCAAATGCATCACTCAGTTATTACTTCTTGGTGCTGTTGATAGCATTCAGGTTTGCATGTTTTTACTTTGGGAAGTGGCACCTGTGGTATAATTTTTGTAATTCTCTTACCAATTAAAGTGTCTAAATTGGCAGAAAAAATACTGGGATAATTTGAAAGTAACTCAGAAGATTGCCGTAATGGACATCGTGCTATCCTTACTAGAGTTTGCCGCTTCATATAATTCATTTACTAATCTCAGAACACGCATGCACCATATTCCTGCGGAAAGGTAAGAAAATCAATGTTTCCTAATTTCATCTTTTAGTAATCTTCTTGCCTATCCTGTTAATTATTACTCTTAAGGTCAAAGAACCTGGTTTCTAACAACTTAATATTGTTCCAGGCCCCCTCCAAATCTTCTTCGTCAGGAGTTAGCGGGAACTTGCATTTATCTGGATGTCTTGCAAAAAGTAACATCGGGACTTAATGACAATAACGGACAACATCTAGAATCTAATGGGACTCCCGACACTGAAGAAACGAAATTGGAAGGAATATCAGAGCAGAGGCTGGTGTCTTTCTGTGAACAGGTACTCAGGGATGCAACTGACCTCCAGTCTACTGTAGGGGAAACTAGCAATGTGGATGTTCATCGGGTTCTGGAGCTGCGGTCTCCAGTCATTATTAAGGTACTATATCAGGAAAAAGAACTAAAAGTAAAAAGTGATATGGTTTAATTTTGTTAAATAATTACCTTATTATCCGCAGCAGTAATAGAGAATCTCGCTTCGTTTTTGCGCTTTGCAGGTGCTTAGAGGCATGTGCTACATGAACAAGAAGATTTTCAGAAGACACCTCAGGGATTTTTATCCTTTGCTCACAAAACTTGTTTGCTGTGACCAGGTAAAATCTCCCTTTCTCCTTCCCTGTACCTTAGATTTCATAGATTTAGGGTTGCAAGTTTGTATCCCAATATGAGAATGTGTAATGACATCAGAGGTCATTTAATTATGTTCAAACAATCGTTCTCATTGAACTTTCAGAAGTTACAAAATGATCATTAAATTTGTTGAACTGTTACAAAAATGGTCACTGCAACACTAGAACAAGTGTAAAAGTTCGATAAAATTTAATGAGCATTTTGTAACTTTGAAAGTTCAGTGATCAAAACGATCATTTGAGTATAGTTCAGTGACCTCCGGTGTACTTTACCCTATAAGAATTGCATCAAGTTTATTGACATTCTCTTTTCCATCACTGCTGCCCCTATCTTGGGTATAAGCTTTCAACGAACTCTAGATTCTATCAATAACTTATGCATTGCATGCTACTCCCATGTTTTAAAAGAATAGCACAGGACTGGAAGTCAAACTAGTATTTTTTATTTGGGTAAATTACACCAAAAGTTATCAAACTGTTACAAAATGGTAACTGTGACGTTACAATAAATGTAAAAGTTTGATAAGTTTAATGGTCATTTCATAACTTTTAAAGTTTAGTGGGCAAAATGATCATTTGAGCATAGTCCAATTACCTTGGATGTGCTTTATCATTTTTTATTTTTGTTTCGTGTCTGAATTAGATAAAATATTAACATCTTATTCTTTGAATTCGTCGCTGTAACTGATTATATCATTGTCTTCAGATCGGTGTTCGTGGAGCACTCGGTGATCTTTTCAGGATACAGTTGAAAGCTCTGCTTCCATGAAGAGTTATAATGTCTATTTTTTAGCAGCTTTCTGAGGAATGAATTTCAGCGTTGTTGCGAATTGCATTGGATCATAGCCACTGTTGTGTATTATTATCTGGCTGAAGAGTAAAATTAGATGGTTTAAAAGTGGTATTTCTTTCTTGCAATTGCTTTATTATTTACGAGGTAGCATAGAATTAAATATGGGGAGGCTGCTTCAGCGATCCTTTTTGCATACAACATTTACAGATAGCGAGACTTTTGTTATAGGGATTGAATATATTTGAATTTCATGTGTTTTTCTGATTGAGTTCTGCATTTTTCTTAATGGTAAACTACAAGTTCCATTACTGAGATTGACCGTTTTCTTGTTTTGGTCCCTAAACTTGATCATTAAAACCGTCAAAATGCTTTGTTTTTTTTTGTCATTGGAGCGTTCAATTAGAAATTGCTCGGGTGATCTGATCAGTTTTATGTTGATGTGGAAGCCACCCATTGGTTACATTGACTATTTTTTTTTTCACTTTGTTTTCTTTCTTTCTTTCCTCAAAGGTGTATTTCTTAAGTATCCGTGTATCACACTGACATCGGAATCGCTACTATAGTGTTTTTTTCAATCACGCAAGACCCCGACCAATTTAGATTTTTTTAAAAAAAATAATTTAAGGCTCATGAAACTTAGTCTAAAATCTAAAAAAGAAAAAAAATCAATTTATAGTTTTCACCATTCAATCAACATAAAATCGTGATATATAACTTCACTGTTGGAATTTGAAAGATTTTCTTAAAAGGAAAACGGCCCCAATGTACAATGCCTATAATAGAAAATTCAAAAGAAAAGCTAAAATCAAGATTTATTTTTTAAGAAAATACAGTTATGAAAATTTTCATAAATTTTAGAATACAAATGCTCAGAAAATTGAAGGTAGAGTGACAAAAGTAAAACAATTCAAAGCTAATTCTTTTTCAAAATTTAGTGATTAAAAAATATGGTCGAAGTAGAGTGATGAAGTTTGCAATTTAACCTCTTTTTAATTAAATGTCACACCCCAAATTTTATATAAAATACAATTAATTTATTTTATTTAATTAAGGGACTAAAATGAATAATTTTAAAATTTTTAGTCAATTTTAAATATGTTGAGAGTTCAGGAACCAGTCCCATAATTTTTCTATAACCCACCTAATACCAAAAATAAATAAAAAAGTGGTTGGGAGGCTTGAACCCTAACCCCTAAAGTAGCCAATCATACCCCTACCACCTAGGTTAGGCCACAGTTACTAATAAGAAATAAGAAATATTTATTATTTGTTTAATACATTAGGTTTTAACCCATCTTCTAGAACCCCGTGTCGAGAACTAAAGCCCCAAAATCCATCAATCTCCAACCCAAGCCACCCCCGTTGCCTCCGGCCAGCCACTCCGATCGACAGTTGAGTACACCACCGCTATCAATCGATTCGGCATCCTTCCGCGACTCGACCCCAATCGTCGGAACACCAAGATCAATTGTCGTTCATCACATAGAAGAGGGATATTTTTTGGCTTCCCCCGTTCGTCGCCCCCTCGATTCTCCCTCCTCTAGCCAACGATGCACGTCACCGCCCGTTCCAATGAAGCGTCGTAGAAGTCTGGACAAAACCCCTAAGGTCGATCGGTGCAAGCTGCCACCGTTCGTCGTGGGGACCTCGACCATCGTCATGCTTCACCGCCTACGTCGTTAGCGTCCCTACCATCGTCCGCTCATAACCCGACTGAAGTCATCATCGCTGGTGTAGGTAATCTCGGTTTATATTTCGATTCATTTTCTCGAGTTTGAATGGATTTTTGGTTTGTAATTAGAGTATGGTAAGTGGAAGTTGTTGGAGTGTTCGGTCGTCGCCGTCGTCGTGTGCATGTGAGGCTTGTTTTGGGTCTAATGAGCTTCCTAAAACCGGTTTGAGTCAACTCGGACCAAACCTAGTCAACCCGAACCAGTCTGACCCGTTGAAATTGGCCCGAACCGTTGACTTTGACATGCCCGTTGACCTGCTCATTGATCGTTGACCTGCACATTGACTTTGATTTTGACCGTTAACAATTGACTTTGACCAAAAATCAAATTTCGAAAAGTCATATTTTATGTTTTTCGACGTCCTGAGTTGGAATCTGAAATCCGTTTTGCCAAATTCGAACCCAAAATCCTCTTAATTGACCTGTAAACTCGAATATACATATGTAATTTAAGTATTTATTTTAGTACATCTGATTTAATTAAAGGGTCAATGACTAATTTATGTTATCGTATATTTAAGGTACTCATGGATCTCCTAATCGTTCGTCTGCTCGACCCGATTCCTCCCGATCTGTCCGTCAACGCGAGCTCGTGATTACTTGTATAGTTCTGTAACCTTTTTAAATACTCAGTTTAGTAGACTACTCCGAGTATAACAGTGTTTTGATATAACCTAGGTTCACGTACAATAGAAGAGCGTAGTGAAGCCGGTGCTCGATAGATCTCTTGAACTGGTTTTTTTTTTTTTTGCAATGTGTGTTCCTTGTGTGTCATATATATGTTTTAAATATATGTTTGAAGCACATGCTTATTTTCTCTGATTTGAAATGAATGGTTTGCTTTGTTTTGACTATCGTAATGATTTATCGGATTTAAGTATGATTCCTGATTTACTGTATTTTAAATCATGCTTGCTTGACACATGTTCTATGGTTACTGTTTTTACTGAGAAATAAATGTCTAAACTCTGATTTTCTGCTACCACTGGTTATTGTTTGAAAAATGTTTTTCTTCAGGGTACTCTGGGATCTAGTATGAAGTCTCTGCAAGTTCAGTTCTGATCAAGCTGTTAATTCCTTATATAGGTTCAACACGTTCATCCGGTAATTCCTTATGGACCTAAGGTGACCCTTGGGCCCAATGGGCCTAATGGTAAGTCCTTATGGGCCTAAGGGCACACCCGTCAGGTGAGCACCTACGCTTCGGCTAGGGTAAGACCTTATGAACCCAATATACTCTCTTAGGTTGACACCTACGCCCTTTGGGCCTAAGCTAAGTCTTTATGGATGCATTTTTGGGGAATTACATATGGTGTTCGGTTGGAGGGTGATTTCGTATTTTCCAACTAAAACTCTACTGACGTTTCATGACTTTAATAATGATATGTTTTAGAAACTTAACTGTATGTTTTTTTTTGCACTGCTCGAACACACTGAGCTCCCTAACTCACTCCTCCAACTCTCTTTCAAATACTTTTTGATGGACACTTGGAAAATCGACACATTCGTACAGTACATTTTGGTTGTAATGTTTTTATCTTCAGAGTTGCAATTAATATGGGTGCCTACTTCCAAAATATGTGTTTTATGATTTATACTGCTTTTGTTACATATGTCAGATTTACTTTGACACTGATTATGAAATGTTTTATTTTACTCGATCATTAAATCTTTAATTATCTAAAATTGATTTTTAACGTTATCAACTATATTTTTAAAGATATTTATTTAAAATATGATTTTAAGTTATTAAAAAAAGTTTTAAATTTTTTTATCATAATCCGCTAAATATGATCGTAACGCATGGGCCAGGTCTAGGGGTTTATTAACTTTAAGATGGGTGAAAAATGCCCTTTAAACTATATGAGCCTGGAAACTAAAGGACAGTTTCTTAAAAATTAATAGTTCACTTTCTAATTTGGGTAACCCTACAATGAGTTCACGTAGGTAAATCTTTACCATCAGCAACTTGCTGCTATACAATAAGATGCGGATAACGCTGTTGTGTTGAATTGGTTGCTCTGCTTTGGTTTCTGATATTCAAAGCATGCTGTTTTCCAAAACTTCAGATTTTGAAGGGTGGCTGGTCTTATCATCCAAAAGGAAGAGAAACCTGAACCTAGAATCGAACGCTAGGACGGAGAAGACTCGAGCACCTAGGAGCCTCCACTTATTACCCGATACACAGCTCCTAGCCATGGAAGCTTGTTGTGGTGATAAGAACTGACAAATCCATTCGGGTAAAACCGAGTCTTCCACGGTTCCTTTGGCGAAGCAATGCAACAATTTCGGCACCAACAGTTTCCCTTTGTTACTGATGCCAACGGATGCCTGGATGTAATCTTTCATCGATCGTTTTAGCAACTCGTTCGTGTTTTCAGGCCTGAAAATCCTCACCTGCAACAGGAAAAGTCTGTAAAAGTAGAGAATCTAATATCGATTGTATCGATCGGATATTTCATTGTTGGCTTCATTCCGATGCTTTTGTAATAGACACTCGCAATGAGAATACTAGAAAAAGGATAAGGGGGGAACGATGAGATCTTACCGCTGGTGAAGAATGCAACCCACAACTCAAAGCAAAATGAACCAGAGGCTCGGGATGATCAATCATATACTTCTGCAGTTCAACATAAGCCTTGAGTTTCTGAAGCGCAAAAACCACAGCCTAAAATTGATTATAATTAGAATAGAAAAACAAAGTTGGGAGCTAGTATGTAGATAAATGGACCAATTATACATACAATTTGTGGCCGATAAGTAGCCGGATTCATCTTTAGAACAATGCATTCAATGTCAGCTGCACTCACTGAGAGACCTCCAACGGTGTAGGCAGCCTGCACATTATCATGCTGAACCGTTAACATTGGTCCAAAGCAGCAATTTGGGGGAAGGGGGATAACCAGACAAGAAAATAAATTTACGATGTCAAACCTTTTGCATCAGAGAGAATAGTTTGATTTCATCTCTCGGAACTCCATATGCTAAATATGCCTGAGAAATAGAGATGACAGACACAAAAAATGAAAGAAAGAAAAAATCAGACTTATCTAATTCAACTAAGGCCTAAGAAGTAGTATCTCTTGATCTATTGAAATCCCGATTTATTTATTTATTTATTTTTTATAGAATATTAGGCCTCGTTAAAAACCTCCTTTTTCACCCTCCATGTTATGTAAGTAACATGAAGGACAAAGAAAAGAGGAAAAGAGTGCCTAGAAATTTATTAGATGAAACAATAGTACAACATAGGCAGACCCTAAACATCTACTAACACCACCAGGAATTACATAAAACTTAAACACAACAGCTAAACATAGGAAATAAAATTTCCTACACCTCAACACAATCAGACAGAAGCCAAAACATCACCCTATCCCATCTTTCGCTAATTTGTCAGCTTTTCAATTTGCAGCTCTCAAGATATGCCTAATAATGATATCATTCCCTTCCATAAGAAAGACTATATCCTTCATCAATAATTGAAACATAGGCTATTTCTAGATCAAAGAGTTCGGAAGTAAATCGTCCCACAAATTGAAAAACTCAATGATATTCTTTGGAATCACGAAAGACAAATTCCAGTTATTAAAAAATCTGGACCACAGACCCCATACTACCTCGCAATGCAAAAAGAGATGCGAAACTGATTCCATTTCCCTACCACACAATGAACGTAAAGGATCATCAATCCCTGACACTCCTTGCTTCAATAATTCCTCCTTAACCGCCACTCTCCGATGAACAACTTGCCAAACAAAAGTCTCCACCCGTGGAGGAGCAATCCCTACCCAAATATGCCTCTCCCATGACTCCTTTTCCTGTTGAATACCATCTTGATCAAAGAAAATGTTGATACAAGATTTAGCTGAAAAACAACCCTCTCCATTCCCTGACCAAATCCAACAGTCTTCCTCACATGGAGATATAGAGATATGGTTCAACATAGAAATCAAGTGCAACAACTGATCAACCTCCCAATCTGCTAAATTTCGCCTCATTTGAATGTCCTACACCCAACCAGCGCCATTATTCACCCTAAACTCCATCACTTTACCCGATTTGTTGCTCGAAAGAACATAGAGTCTAAGAAACTGAATTTTCAAAGGTACTTCACTCAACCATACATCGTTCCACAACTACACGAAATTCCCCTTCCCTGTCTTCAAACGCATATTCTTTCTAATACAATCCCCAAAACCATCATCGGTAAAGAAATTTTTTACCACTCATCTCCAAATCCAAGATGCACGAGTTGGCCACGAGTTCCCTATCATTATGCCTTTCGGATCCATATCATATACACCACATACCACCCTCTTCCACCAAAACTCTTTCTCTGATGCAAACTTCCAAATCCACTTCCCCAATAATGCTCTGTTCAAGAGTGATAATTTCAGGACCCCTAGACCCTCCAATCTTTTTGGTTTACTAACCGAATTCCAATTTAACCAGTGGATATTTTTTTATCCGCCGCACCCCCCCCCACAGAAATGAAGCCATGATAGAATTAAGTTTCTTTAGCACATAAGTTGGAATTCTGAAAATGGAAAGAAAATAAACTGGAAGCGAGCACAACACTGATTTAACCAATACCATCCTTCCTGCAAGCGACAGGGAATTAGACATTCAACCACTCAACTTAGCATGAAATCTCTTCACTATTGGCTCCCACATAGCAGCCGAATTCCTCTTGTACCCCAAGGGCAAACCTAGATATTCTGATGGGAAATAGCCTATCGAACAACCAATATCATTAGCCCAAGTAGCTAACACCCCATCCTCAATGTTAATACCATAAGTTATGCTCTTAACTAGATTAAGCTTCAACCCCACCAATAACTCGTATATTAATAACACTCTTCTAACATTCCTCAAATCACAAATACAGCCTTTACTGAAAATTATAAGGTCATCCGCAAATTGAAAATTCAAAAGCTTAAATGCCCTATCTTGAACACCTAAATCGAAACCTGAAAACAATCTCATATCAACTGCTTTGGTTAGCAACAGATGCAGTAGCTCACCGACCAAATTAAACAGCAAAGGCGATAGCGAACAACCCTGTCTCAATCCCCTCGCTGTGTGAAATTTCTCTGTAGGTGACCCGTTTACTAGAACCGAAATAGATGCAGAATACATACATTGATACATCCATGACCTCCACTTATCACCAAACCCCATTTTACTCATAATTTTCATCAAAATGTACTAATCAACCAAATCATAGGCTCTCTTGAAATCTACTTTGAAGACTACTCCCTTCAACCCTTTCTTCCTCCAAAAATCAATGCTTTCATTTGCAATAAACGAGCAGTCCAATATGTTCCTTCCCGGTATGAAAGCAAATTGAGACGGACTCATTATATCATTAATGCACAAACTCAATCTTCTAGCTAAAACCTTTGATAAAATTTTATATAGCCCTCCAACTAGGCTAATTGGCCTAAAGTCTTCCAACCCTTCCGGATTGACCTTCTTAGGAATGAGAGAAATAAATGAATGATTTACCTCCGAGTCCCACTCTATCCCCCCATAGAAATCTTTAAAAAACATCACATCATACTTCAAAATGGTCCAGAATTTCTTAAAGAATCTTAAATTCAGACCGTTCGGTCCCGGAGCTTTGTTACTATCCGAATGAATGATAACATCCCATACTTCCTCTTCCGAAAATGGCTTCTCCAATGCTAGACACTGCCCTTCCGATAGTCTAAGAAAATCCAGATTTAAATCCTCAACCTCCAAAGTATTCCTTTGATTAAACAACCCCTTAAAGAACTCCACCACAACGGCTTTAACAACATTGGGATCTTCCGTGACTACAATGTCAACTTTGAGATATTTAATACAATTTATCCTACCTCTAACTGCTGCACTATGATGGAAAAATCTAGTGTTCTTATCTCCTTCCAATCTCCACTTTATTCTAGACTTTTGCAACCAAATCGATTCTTTTTTTTGTGGCTCCCATAGTTCTCTTTGCTTCAATAATAGATTGCATAGACACCATGGAAAGTCCTTGTTGCAAATCCATTTCCATATCCTGAATTCCTCTCTCCAACATTCTGATTTTTCCTGGCAGCTGAAGATAATCCCTCCTCGACCACCTCTTTGCCACTTCCTTCACCCGATTAAGTACTTTGGAGATGGACACCGTATTCACCCCTTTGCAGAATTTAAATAGCTCCGTTTTCATCATCTCACTAAACCCATCTTCTTCCAACACATAATTAAACAACCGAAACGGTTTCGACCCCCAATTACACTCCTTATTCTCCAACAAAATGATATTGTGATCAGAGACAGACCTTGGATGCAAAGTTTGGCTTAATTTTGGAAAAGACGAAAAATATGTCTGATCAACCAAAAACTTATCCAACCTCTCATAAGTGGGCACTTCCCTATTGTTACACCACGTAAAACAACCTCCAAATAGCAGCAAATCAATCAAATTCGCCTGATTAACAAAATCTCTGAAACAATTCATAGATACCGTATTCACTGCTCCTCCATCTTTCTCTTCCTGAGACAATACCACATTGAAATCTCCTCCTAAACACACTGGACAATTGAGCTTTTCCAGAAAGGATAATAACTCCCTAAAAAACTGCTCCTTATTTGCATCAACACTCAGACCGTAGACATTAATAAAACAAAAAATTCCTGGTACTCCTTCCATCAACCCCTTTATTGCCACAAATCTACTATGGATGACTTCTTCCTTCACCACAAATTCCTTTTGATTCCACAGTTATTAAACCACCAGCAGAACCTACAGCAGGAACTATTGCTGAACTGGTGAGAATTTTACCTCCCATTTTCCTTACTAAGAAAGGCCTTACAACTTCCAGTTTAGATTCTTGTAAAAAAAAATTGTAGGCTTTTTCTCCTCAACAAACCTCCTAATTGCTTGAGCTTTCACCCTCCTACCCAAACCCCTAACATTCCAACACATTATGAACCACTCTACCATCATAATCATACCATAACCTTAAATCCATGATCCTACTACCGACCATCAAACATCTCTCACCTTTACCATAGGACCTACTTTGGCCAAAAAATCTGTCTCACCTCCTTTAAATTTAACCTTCAGCAATTTAGAGACATTCCAACATTCCAAAGCTTCTATCCTCCCCTGGTTCTCCACTTCTGTAACATAATCAGATCCCTTGCCACTGCAACTTTTAACTTCCCACCTCCTAGCATACACATTCTTATAAAAACCTCTTTCAGCTTTACTAACTGAAGCACTCCTCCCCATAGGACGTTGCTGGGCCAATGAAACAGACCCATTCTGTTGAACAGAGTCAGCTTGTATACCATTTATTAAATCTGCAGACTTAACCCCATTTCTATCTGATCTTGGACTTCCCTGCTCTGACCCATACACCTCTCTCCTCCCCATGCTGGAATTAAGCCCAACATCTTTAACCACTTTATCTTGTCCCGAGGTATCACCTCCCATGCTCTGCACCCTTTCTCTACCTTCAGAAAAAACCCCTGACACTTGCTGCTGACTGTGAACCTCACCTAGTATTGTCCCCTCAAAACAAAAGTCAGCTCCTAAGATATTATTGACTTCTGCATTTTCTTCCAAATTTCCATCGATACGCGTGTCACCCCCATTTGTAGCATTCCTAACCCATGCTTCCACCCTGTTCTGAGTTTCTGCCAACTTTTTGAAATTCAACTGCTCCTGCAGACCCTCCCGATCATCCCCTTGTTTCTCTTCCGACGATATCTCCTCCTATGGATCCACTGTTCCCATCTCAGAACCCTCTTCATCAACTCCATCTTCTATCACAGGAAAGAAATCCTCACTGCCTTCCACTTTAATCTTAATAATCCACTTTTTGAGTTGTATGCTCCTGGATCTTCACTAGTTTGCCCCATCTCGATGCCAAACTTGTAAAGAATGAAACTGACCAGCAATTTAACGTAACACTTATCATGGAAATTGCACAATAAGGTAATGGAACACACTTCTCTTCCAAAACAGGCCACAACCTTTCAAACCAAAAGGACAATGCCTCCCTCTGAACAAACTCAACTTCAAAAATCGCTTTACAAATACCTGTTAAAGACGATCTCAGCCATGTTCTTTCCTCCATTGGAATAAAGACTTCCAAAGGCTTCTTCACCTCCCTCATATCACCTGAGCTGATTACTTGCTGACCTTCAACTTTTCTCGCTCCCACAACTGTATCCTTATATGTTCTACCATCATGAAACTTGTTGAACAGCTCCTTTTTCCCAACATCAACAACTTGACCTATTGGATTTTTCCTTTTGGAAACCTCCACACCTGCTTCTCCAGGCCCCACTACACTATTACGCTTAAGGTTCCCTGGAAAACTACTCTTCTGATACTTCGCAGACGTTACCACAATTCTCCTCCCATCTACCATGACTTTATTTATCTTACTCATTGCATTAAGCAAATCCTCCTTGCTTGCAAAGTGCACAAAGGCAAACGTATGATCCTTATAGTTAGGCCTCCTATTAACAAATGGAATGAACACCTTAACCACCTTGCCATCAAGACTAAAACAATCCCATAAAACACTTCTATGCACTCTCCTACTAAGATTATCTATGAATGCTACCCACGATCCTCCACCAGGCACTGCTCTACTTCTGTCAGGAGAAACATTACCTCTCGGCTCCACACACTCTCTCTCACTACCTTTCTCACTCATGTTTTTTAGAGTGTATGTATATATTGTTTCTATATGCTCGAGAGAGGAAGTAAAATGCATAGATTGGAAAGGTAGAAGCGCATTACATGCATAATCAAAGCATTATAAAGGTTAATCCAAAATGCCAGTTTCTCATTGTAACTCATTTGAGTTGGATCCACCATGGACAACTGCTCAACAAGTAATCTGCAGGCAAACAGAGAGAAACGATAAAAGCAATAACCGTCAGGCTCACCGTCCAAAGCCTTTCTACTTTTGACATTATGATAAAATACGTGCACTAATTGTGATTCCCTACTCTATTGTGAATGCTTAGAAGCCAATGAAATGAGGATATAAAAACTAGTCTAATAATATAACATAAATAGTTGACCTGAATCTTTTTAGAGCTGTAGCAGCATATTCAAGTTCTTTCTTCCCAACAGACAACCATGAGACTTCAATTGCTTTGTTGTAAGCCCCGATATTACATGTCCAGTCAACTTTGTCGGAGACTTTGTATGGATCATATGCACCACCTCCCTGGGGACTGCTTACAAAGGAAGTCACAATGGGTGAGTCCAAGGAAGATGCCAAAAAATTGGCAAGGGGACAATGAGGTGAAGCGGGAGAAGCCGACAAAGAAGAGAGCTTGGATGAATCTGCTAAGAAAATGAAAATATCTCTCATATGCAGGACCATTTCTTCCGATAGCTGGTTGCGGTGATGCCAAAGGTTCTCCACGATATAGTTGTTATCTATAAAAGCCTCTGGCAGAGGCATATCATCCGTGTTTTCTTCTGCTCCCTCTTCATTGCAAATCCTTGCAATCTGAGACAAATAGATCGTTAGTCAGCTCTTGCTTTACCTCTTTAAAATAAAAGATATAATAGGATATAGGTGACAGTACTGATTCGGTTAAGTAATCCAGAGAGGTATCAAAAAGTGATGTTGAATGACACGGCAAATGCTTTAAATGGTACTCAGAAAGACGTCGTTCATTCCTCTCCTGACTAAGCTGATATTGTAAAGAAACAAATTCCTGCTCAAGCTTTGATACAGTGATCTCGAGAACAGCTATGCTGTCTAAAAGCTCCTGTGCCTGAAAGCCGAATTTAGGAGATCGAACGAAGAGCATAAATATAGGAAAGAAATCCCACACAGGGACGCTGACCTTATTCGGAAGCTTTCCTGGAGAACTAGTAGAAGGCGAACCACAGTGTTTGGCGGCACTTGCTAGAGCCAAGTGCAAATCTGTCTCTTCCTGCAACTGCTGCTGCAACTTTTTAACCTGTAGCAACAAGCGGCAACATGTTGCATGAAAACGAGATATAAAAATTTCAAAACATTTACTCCATGATCACGGCACATTTAACCATTCATTAGCACTACTCTTATTCTCTATATATCGTATTTCTTCCCCTCAACCAAGCCTACTTTCATGCTAATGCTTCTCAGCTTCCTCGTGGAATAAATCAAATCAACCTTCAACAAGCTCAATATTTATTGTAGACAAAGTGTTGAGCAACGTTGATTTGCAAACTAAACAAGAGTTCAATGCCTTCAAATCATCTTGTCTCGGGTGTTAGTAAAGAGAACAAAGGAAAACGCTCTAGAAAACACCGATCATTGCATATCCCTCGTCTCCTAATACACGACTCCGACTAGCACAAATTCAAGAAATCGGAAATGTCATAAGGAAAGTGAACTTTACAACAATGAATGGAGTTTTCATGAATCAAAGAACGATGTTGAATGCAGCATTTAAGTTCAAATAACTAAAAAAACGACATGAATCCAAAACTTAACATGCAATCCCCATAAACTGATTCCGAAATCGAAAGGGAACGTGCAGAGAGACAAATAGGATCATCTTACTTCTTGCTCAAGCTGGTATCTATAATTACACATCTGGGGCTTAGCAGCATCCTGGTAAAAACAATGATTTCAGAATCTAAAACTCAGTAAAATGTAAACAAATTCCCCCAAAAAAAACCATTACCACTCGGGAAAATTACCTCCAACTTAGAACAAGAGTCATCCCCTGCTGAAAATGACTTGCTCGAAACCCTACCAGTTTTCCATTGCAAATATTTATTAATAGAACTTCCCCTGCAAAACCATCAAACCATACTGCATTTACCATTACAAGAAGAGGGGAAATAAAAGAAAAGGAAAAGAAGAAACAAAAAACACCCACCAGTTATTTGGTAGAATGAAACCACCATTGTTACCACCATTGCAATGTCCATTCCCGTCAGGACTTTGAGGATGATAGTCTTCATCCAAAGCTTCAGGCTTTAAACAAAGCATCGTAACACCCCAAGATGCAATTTTTTTCAGTTGAATTCCATAACCAGTGGATGCATTCTTCTTCTTATCGCACTGTTGACAAAATGAGTTCACCAAATCAAGAGTCACTGAGTGGGGTACATAGGGCCCTATAATATTGTAATGAAACTGAGTCACTGAGTTGGAGAAGGGTTGATAGTATGGAGGAAGACGAAGATCTTTATCATATGTCCCTCTCTGTTTTTTGCAGCGGCACTCTTCACATGCCTTCTCTCTTCTCTCTTCTCTCTTCTCTCTTCTCTCTTCTCTCTTCTCTCTTCTCTCTTCTCACTTCTCACTTCTCACTTCTCACTTCTCACTTCTCACTTCTCACTTCTCACTTCTCACTTGTCTATCTTCCTGTTTTGAATCAACTGAACGGTGTCGTTTTCCGACATGAAAAGGATGTGTGTTTCATTATCTGATCTACCAGAAAGATTTTGAGAATTGACCTTTCGAAAACCGGGTCAGAATTAGGGATGGGTAAAGATCACATTGATGATTAGAATTTTTAATAATTACACCTTAAGGAAGCGTTTAGTTTAAGGTATCTCACATTATCAAGGGAATATATTCTCCTGTTTAGTCGATAAATATTTTAAGTTAATAAGTTATTCCCAATAGTAATATTTTGAAGATATATTATCAGGAATGTGATTACTTATTTCCTTAAGTATTATTATATTTCCAGCGTTTTGGACTAAAATGCCCTTAAAAAAATTTCTCAAAAATATTATTTTTCTGTCGTTGAATAAAAAAATTATACGAATGTTAAATTATAAATTTATCCTTAAATCATTTTAGATTTACAAAAAAAATCTATAATTAAAATTTTATATGAAATTCAAGGATTAAAATAAAATTTTAACCTTTCATTAAATTTATTTATCTTTTTAATTTTGTAAAAAAAATTATATAAATTTTAAGAATTTAAAATTTTTAAAGAAAATATATAAATTAATTATAGTAATATTATAGTATAATTCAACTTTTTAAAAAAATAAATATATAATAAGGACAATTTGATAAAATATACATTTCAATAATCTTTTATTATTTTAACCAAACGTTGTATTTTTACATTCCTGCTAAACGAACCAAACACAAAATACAACATTCCCAGTAATTTAATTCATGCCGGTAATTATATTCCCGCCGGTAATCTTACATTCCGTGAACTAAACGCACCGTGATCTTATTATGATAGAAATTACATTTCCATTTTATAATTAATTAGGTAAAGTACACAAATGGTCTTTGTATCATATGAAGTTGTTTTATTGAGTCATCCGATAATAATGTGCTATTTTATTGAATTCTGACTATTAAAAATTATAAAATAGTCATTTGACTATTTATATGTTCCAAACTCATTTTTTTCTACTAAAAATATTGGTCGTCTAAATTGGACATTAACTTACTAACATGGATATAATAAAATCGTGTTTTAATTACGTATATTGATATTGTCGTTGCTTTTAAACACTGACTCGAAGGGATAATGTTTCAAACATTGACTCGATGACATAATGTAAATAGAGATTTGATCCATAAAATACAACTCAAATGGTTATGGAATCATATTTTATCATATCCTAGTGAGCATATTAACGTTCAGTCAGACAACCACAAACTTTTTTAATAGAAAAGAACGGGTTTATAACATATGAATAGTCGAATGATTATTTTATGACTTTTAATAGTAAGAGATTCAACAAAGTAACACCTTATAGTTCGATAATCATTTTATAACTTTTAATAGTCAAATAACTCAACAAAACAACACTATGTAATAGGTGATCATTGGAGGACTCAACGAAATAACACACTATGAAACCATTTCTATACTTTACCCTAATTAATTATGATATTTAAAATATAAAAAAATAAATATGAGTCTGAGTTTGGTTTTCTTTCTCTTCCTTTTATTTATGGTATGATTATGAATTTAGTTCTTAATATTTATTCTTTTGTCAAATTAATCTTTTTATTTTTAATTAAATTTAACTCTTAATTTTTTTAAAATATTATTAAATTGACTTCTAACAAAATATTTTACAAAAAAAATTAAATTTTAACAAATTTGTTGTGGTAGTTAATGTGATAACCGCATATATTCTATGTAACGTCCTCTATATCGGGTTAGTGATCAAATTGTGAAATTTTATAATTTAGTTACCAAAGTATATAAATTGAATAGTTGAAAGATTTAATAGGAATGTTTCATGTAGGATGGATAAGCAAATAAGGGAAATTAAGAGGGCAAAGGAGTCTTTTAGTAAGAGAAATAATTAAATATTCCTTAAGGTTATTTTATAAACCACGTGTAAAGTATTTGAGAGAAAACAAGGTTCCAGATATTTCTCTCTTATTCTTCTTCTTCTTCTTCTCCTTCTTCTCCAACCGTGAAGCTTGTAAGCAAAGGTGAGTTGTCTTCTTTTGGATTAATTCTTATGAGTTAAGCATAGGTTTGATTAATGAAGATTTAGGAAAGATGATGGAGAGAAACAAGGACTTAGAAACTCAAAGAATTGTAAGTTAAGGGAGATTAAAGGTTGGGAGCCATTGAATGAAATCTTGGATTAAAAGTCATAATAAGAATTAGAAGCTGGGTTTGACTTGTCATCAAGCTAATTAAGAAGTATGAATTGATAGAATTAAAATTAGAACAAGTTGGAATTTGAGTAAAATTCTTAAATTCTATATGGAGGATTGGTTTTTTTAAGTTTTAGAGGTATTGAATGGATAATAATTAGTTTAAGTAAATGTATGAAAGTTAGGAATATTAAAGTGAGTAAAATATGAAGGTTTGAGCTGAAATGAGATGATTTTTTAGCTCAAAATAGGATTTATGGGCTAGGGGAATCGGTACCCATTCAAGGGGAATCGATACCCCCTCAAACGAATATGAAATTCCAGAATGCAAGAGGGGAATCGATACCCCCACAGTAGGGAACTGATTCCCCCCTAAAGAAAAAAATAAAAATCAATTCCTTAAATTTGTTTAGACTATTAGAAGTTAATTTCAAGACTTAGGCATCTGATAATCATCTTGAAAATTATGTTTATGTAGATATTAAGCCTAATCGAGTTCTGGAACAATCGACAAGTAAGATCGATCGAGGAAAAAGCAAGGAAATATAGATGAGTGCATATGCATAGCATGTATATAGTATTATATTCAGTTCTAGACTTGTGATAAGTCTAGATTCAATATTTGATACATGATCACATTTCATATTATGATACTTGATATGAATTCATATTATATGCATTATGTGACATGAATATGCAAGAAAAGTTATATGAATTATGTGATAAAGGTATGGAAAATGAAATGTTTATGTGATAAAGGTATGGAAATGATATGTCTATGCGATATAAATTATGTGAATTGTAAAAGCCCATGTTTTGTAGATGAGAACTATAGGTATAGTTGGCATGCCAAGGGTATAGGGTATACGCGGTCCTTCGAGATATATATATATTCTTTGGAACATTTGTGAGGTCTTTTGAGACACATAATTGATCATTGGCATATGTATATGATTCTTAAGGAATTTATATGTGGTCCTTCGGGACAAATTCTACGCGGTCCTTCGGGATAAATTTCTACGCGGTACTTCAGTGTAATTTATACGAGCTGTGGTGACAACATAGTGCACAACCTCACAATACTCGCGTACCTTAGGTTCTCAGTATGGTATCATGGGCCAATAAACTTATTAATACAAATTCGTGAATGCTAATGTAATATGCTTACGGGTAAGGATCATAGTGATATAAACTACATTGATTAAGGATACGATTTCATCTCATTTCATATCATTATGGCATTTTCATTACAGTACCTTGCTATAATTATTACATTGCCTCACTAAGTCATCGACTTAGTGTGTGAGTATTTCACGTGTAGGATCCGAGAAAGTAGAAGATACATGTTAAGCAGCTGACATCATTACTCCTGCAACTATCAGATCAGAAACAACCTAATCAGTAGGTCATTTTGTTATGTAAATGGGTGTTGGCATGTAACTAAAGGGTTAAGTTGTGTATGCTCTGATTATTTTGGTAAACTTGTATTAATATATGTATATTATCGTATTTTCTTATTATTTATTTTCAAGTATTTTGTTATTATTTGTTAAGAGTAATGTTTTAAAAAGGTAATGTGACATCTCGGACTCGTATCCGGGTCGGGTACGTGTTGGGGGTGTTACATTTAATGGTATCAGAGCTATGGTTTAGCCGATTCTAGACATAAACCAGAGTCTATAGAGTCTTTAAATAGAATACATGCCAACAAAAAGTGAGAACTTCTAATCTGATATAGTATGATTATGTTGTTTTGCTAATAGAGCGATATGTTTATTCTTATTAGATGTCCGGACATAGTAGCTCCCGAAGTGAAGCGGGAGAAGATAGGCCTTCTGAAAGCAGTAATTCACCTGCTCTGGCCAGGCAAGGTGAAGAACATGCATCTCAAGGAGTGTCTGTGCAAGATCAGGATACGTTCTTCAGAACGTTAGACGCTATTCTGACGCGTCTTCAACCTCCTGCTCCACTAACTCAAAGAATGAATGTAGCAAAAGAGTGAAGAGGTTTAGGAGCTCCCGAATTTAAGGAAAAGGCCGCGGAAGGTCCGATTACGACAGATCTTTGGTTAAATGATTTGAAAATCATGTTGGATGGTCTTCACTGCTCTGAAGTGGAGAAATTAGATGGAGTTGTCTCGTTACTGAAGGGTCAGGCGAGGATATGGTGGACGAACGTCACCATGAGGATGTCAAATGACCAGTTATCTCGGTCTTTGTTTTTAGAATAATTCAAAAACAAGTACATTGAAGATCAGTTCATTCGGCAAATGAAGCAAGAGTTTATGAATTTGAAGCAGTTGAACCGCTCTGCATATGAGTATGAATGTGAGTTCAAAAAGCTTAGTCGGTTTGCATCTGAGCTGGTACCAACTGAAAAAGAGGATTGTGAATGGTTTGTAGAGGGCTTACGCCCTAGATTGAAAAAAGATGCTGATAGTATTGAATTTGTCCTCTTTCCAAGAGGTGATTAATCATGCCAAAACTCTTGAAAGTGCTCAGAATGAGAGATTTGGGGACTTTAGAGTTCAGACATCAAAGAGGACAGGTGTTTCTTCCAGCTCAGCACCACCAAAAAGAGGAAGAAACTCAGGATTTCGATCACAAGCTAGATCCGAATCAGTTGCATCCTCAGCTAGAGGAGCAAGTCAACTGAGGCCTAGACAGACACAATTAGTGGGA